TCTCGACTTGTTGTAATAGTGCGTGTTGCAGGATTATATATTCGATATCCTTTAATATCCTCAGGATAGCCAACAAATATACATTGTTCAGATTTTTTATCCCATTTATATCTTTTTTCTTTAGGGATGTGTTTCATAACAATACTGCCAAAAATTCTTAAATGACTGAGGTTTGGTTTAGATCCTGTCCATACCTCATACGGGGTGCGGTTCTTCAGTCCAGCCTTCACGATTCTGTTCTGTAAATAGACAGCAGTGTTAACAGCTTCCGCCCAGAATTCTTTACCAAGTTTAGCATCAAACAAAAGGCATCTCGCCTTTTCTATAATTGTTCGGTTCATCCTCTCACAGAGCCCATTTTGTTCTGGTGTGTATGGGTTTGTTTTTTGATGATTAATACCAGCTTTCTTTAAATAACTTTCAAATTTCTTGTTACAGAATTCAGTGCCGTTATCACTTCTAAGAGTTTTAATTCTTTTTGACAATAAATTCTCAATTCTTGCTTTATAATCTATAAAACTCTGTAAGGCCTCATCTTTACTTTTTAAAAAATAAACTTGTGTCATACGATTATGATCATCAACGAAAATAATGAAATACCTGGATCCTCCGAGTGATACATTCTCCATTGGGCCACAGATATCACAATGTATCACATCCAAAAGTTCACTACTCCTGTTTCCTTCATGAGCAAAAGGTAAGCGACTCTGCTTCCCTTCACAGCACACGATACAATTTGTTTTGTTGATGTTTGCCGTCTCTGATAGCTGAACTCCTTCCACAGCACCATTCATTTTGTTCATGTCGAAACTATTTACATGTCCCAATCGACGATGCCAAACAACTGGAGACTCAACTGCTGCTGCCACCAAACATGTAGATGTATTCAACTTATAAACGCCATTAACAAGTGAAGCAGTAGCTACCAGAATGTTCTGTTTATTAAATATTTTGCATCCACTGCTTGTGAAACGCACCTTGTTGCCTTGTTTCATTAGTTGGCTCACTGATAACAAGTTTGTCGCTAACTGGGGAACACACAAAACCCTTTCAATAATTATACTATAACTGTCTTCTGCAGTTGTTGTAATTATGTTTACATTTCCACAACATTCCACTGGAACTTTACTCCGATTGGCGATCATGATTTCCTTGGTAAACCCAGAGTAACAAACATCCGTGATCCAGTTTATGTTACTCGTTAAATGTAAACTGGCACCTGAATCTACGTACCAATCACTCTTGTCAAAGGTTCCATTAAGAAAAACGGCACTAAACGCATTTGTTATTTTTGGTTTCTTTTCTGAATCTTGCAAATTCTTTGAATATTTTTTATTATTTGTGCATTGGTTGATGTAGTGGCCATATTGCTTACAACCATAACATTTGACGTTTAGTTTTCCCTTGACAGATGCTGTCATTTGAGAAATTTGATTCCCGCCATCTTTGCCGACCATTGACCGAGTAGATTTCACAATTTTTGAACGATGATTTGACTTATTGCGGAAACATGCAAATGCATTATTGACGTCGCCACTGTCTTCCGGTTCCATATCCATTAACTTCCCTTTAATGGCGTCCGTTGTAATTATCATGCCGGAATGTTCAATAGCCATTATCATGGGCATATACTTTTCTGTTAATCCTGCCAACATGATAGAACCGATCCATTCATCGTTAATTCCAAAACCCGTTCCTTGTAGCTTCTGACTAGCTTCAACTATTTGTGTTACATATGACGTCATCGATGAGCAATTTTCATATCGAATTGATATAAGATTCCTCAGCAGGCCGATTTTTCTCGTAAATCCTGAGTCATCAAACAGCATCTTTAATTTATCCCACAATTCTCTCGATGTTCCGACGCTTTTGATGTGAACGTAAAGAGCCGGGTCGATTGTTAAGATTAACTTGGCTTTTGTCTTGGCGTCATCTGCAGCTGATGGGGGCTGACCGAGCTCTGGTTTGATGCACCCAACCATTCCTTCTAATATTAGAAAGTTTTCTGCCGCAAAACACCACTCACTGAAGTTCTCGCGCCCTTTTAGCTTGGGTACGCTAATCAAGTAGTTCGAACTAGACGCCATGATAGTCACTCGCGCACACTTAAACTTGTCAACTTACTGTTAGCAAAACGTAATGCTATTATGCTGTTCACCACACGATAAAACTAGTCCTAACAATAAAACTCAATTACTTTAAAGCCTATTTATGGAGCTTGGCCCATAACCTAAAATAAAACAACGAGTTATGATATGGCTGCGATCAACGAATGAAAGAATAAAATTTTATTGAAACATACAAGTGACACTACAGATTAGTCAATACAACTGTTCAAAGATGGCGCTAATAGTCTCTAAATTTTGATATTTATAACAGTATAGAATCCATATTACGCTATGGGTTAATATTCTGGGGCAATTCTACAAATAAAACAATGGTCTTTAAAGCGCAAAAAAGATGCATCAGGGCTATTAAGGGTTTAAAGTCTACTGATAGTTGTGAGGAGGTCTTTAAGCAGTTGAAAATTTTGACATTACCTTCCTTATATATTTTTGAAGTTGCAGTGTTCGTCAAAAATAACTTCCATATGTTTCCTACATTTATAGAACAGAATTCGCATAGGAACTATAGACGAGGGATAGGGAATACATTATGTGCAATGGAACGTAAAACTGCACTATTTAGCAATAGTGTCTTTGGGATGGCTACTACAATTTTTAACAAAATACCCAATAATATAAAGAGTTTGCCAATGACTATGTTTAAGAAACGCTTAATGAAACTATTAATTGACAAAGTATACTATAATTCACAAGAGTTCCTTAGTGACACTTCCTTGAAAGAAATGGACATAATTACGTAATTAACTTATATTTTAGTCTATTATAGCACAATTTATTATTATTATTAGTTTGACATATTGCTTAGTAATTTTGACATTTAATTCTATCTATGACTTGTTTTATTGTAATTGTAATTTATTAATATGGATTTTTATATAATTGTAAACCTAATTATTTTATAAAAAATATTGTATACCTTGTAATAAGGTCGAAATGTAGTGACACTAAACTTTTATCCTAACACCAATTTGCTGTATTAACCTACATTTCACAATAAATCATTTGAATTTGAATTTGAATTCGACGAATAAAAGTAAATGAATTTTATATTTACTGCTAAACTATTAAAAAAAAATTAACAAAAGATGACTTTTTGAGTAAGTGCTAGTTTACTATAAAATTTACATACATTAGAGATATTTATGTAACGACTTGATTTAACATCACACATTTTTGCGAAAACTGAGGCCCATCTGTAGCCTTGACCCCGCTGGTAAAGTCATATGTCTTAATAAATCAATCTTTTAGACCGACGCAAGGTACTTAATAATTCCCGCGATATTAATTCCCTTGCTGAAGTAACAAGACTACGGTATATACCGTCTTAAAATACTAACTAACTAAAAAGTGTGAAATAAAAAAAGTAAATTTAAAAAATCAAAAAACCCGACTGCTTAATTATACTTCAAATAAAAACTGAAAAGAAAAAAACAAGTCCAGTAGTCTATAATTCTGTTAAAAAGGAACAAAGCTACTTTAACAGTCGGGACCCACTGTTGTAAAATATTATGTATTCTTGAATATCTAATGGGTCCCGACTGTTAAAGTAGCTTTGTTCCTTATTGACAGAATTATAGACTACTGGACTTGTTTTTTTCTTTTCAGTTTTTATTTGAAGAATAATTAAGCAGTCGGGTTTTTTGATTTTTTAAATTTACTTTTTTTTTCCTTGTTGTTGTCTCCCTTATTTAGAAGTATCAATTTATCGTATCGTATAAAAGCAGAATGACCTTTTTCTTTTTCCTCGCGGAGTTTAAGTTGTAGCTCCTTTCTTTTCTCAAGGACGTCTTTTGGGAAGTCTTCCGTGGCGTATATTCCTTCTGGTAATTTTTTTTTGTTTTTAAGTAACTCTACTTTTCTCCAAGTCAGAGTAAAATTGATGAGTATTGGCCTCACACGATTCTCTTCCTTCTTCCCAATACGGGTCACTCTACCTATTTCCCATTGGTCCCATGCATCAGTTTTTACCTTCTCACTAATGTTATTGAGAATATTCAGTACAATTTCCATTAATTCTTTGAAAGAGGTCTCATTTTCAGGGACACCATGTAGTATTATGTTGTTTTTACGTGATTCTTTTTCCAAATTTGTTAATTTTTCATTAACTTTTATCACTTACTTTTTCAGCAGTTCATTTTCGTCTAAGATTGGCTTTATTTTTTCCTCTAAGGCCTCCGACATTTTTAAGGTGATATTTTGTGTCAGGGCGATAGTTTGTTGTTCCAATTTTTCTTCCAACCTTTTCGACATAATTTCAAACTGTTGCTCCATTGCTATGTGTTTTCTACTAAATTGGTAGTTTCTTTTTTTCGCCTGGTATGTTTGTTCGGATTCTGAACGTTTTTAATTGTCTGTGGTTTGATTTTTTTATTTTTTTTATAGTTGGTAGCTCTGATAACTGTCAGTGTTAGGTTCTACGATAGGTTATAGGTATAGTTATATAGATGGAATTTCGTACCTTTACTGACGATTTCTATGCTTTCCAATATTTTTTCACACAAAACTGTATTTGATTTGTATGTCTGAAGTCTGATACAGTTTCATCTTTCTGCTAAAATTCAGATAGTTATCACTAAAGCAGAGTCAACAGGTGCACCCATTTCTATGGTGTGCCTCAAAGTTTATTGTTGGGCCTATTCCTTATTCTTAGTTATGTATATTATTGGATGCCCTTCTTCACTTTAATAAAGATTTGATTCTGATTACACCTTCCTCCAGTTCAATCCGCATAGTTCCGTTTTTGTGGAAACAAACCTTACAGTTATCGGGAATGTAGCCGCAGATGGAAGCTAGTACTTGAATAAATGTTTAACCTAGGTCTTACACCTAAAAATTAAACAATACGTTAATTTAATCAATATGTTCAATTTTTAGGAGATTACAGAGAACTACAAGGAGAATGGATTCCATATAAAAAGTTAGGATATACAACTTTGGAGAAGTTATTTCTCGATGTTCCTGGTTTTAAAGTGACACAAATTAATGGCGAATGGTATGTTGATGCCATAGCTAGTCAAGAAACTCAACATATCGCATCCATGGTGGCACGACAAAAACCTAGTAAAAAAGCTAATTTAAAGTTAAGTTATTCGGTAAGTATCCAATACAGTTATAATTCAGAAGTAGGCATAGCCGATTTGATAGCTGATCAAAAGTCAGACCTTCTTCTAGTCTGAAGTGGAAGTTCTCGAGGACAGTTTCTCGCCCCTAGCGGCGAATAATCGTAAGCGAAACTAATCCATGGCTATACCTGGCATTCAATCCTTGTCGGTGGTTGTTTACATATACAACGTTCAACGCAAAAACAATTTGCACTAGCAAATCCAACACGCCAACCCCCTGAGATCGGCCGCCGGGTTAAAGCTGAATCATTTAATCAGATTCCGGTCACCAGCCGGCATGGCGCAGCATTTCAGGATTTTGCACAGGCGGCGGGGCACAAGTAGTTACTTGGTCCTAAAATGGCTAGATATCATTGCGTCTAGATCTTTAATTGACTACATCACATAATGACTAGACCGCAAAATGACTACATCTTTATTTGACCACATTACATAGTGCCTAGATCGCAAAATATGTATGTAATCGTTACATGTTTAAACCTTAAAAAAGAATAGAATAAAATCCACTTACACACACGGTAATTTATATCAATGTAATTTTCCGAAATTGTGTAGTTTCATTTGACTTTTTTTATATTTATGTAACTAAAAACAAGCTACACAAATAAGTTATCTAGTAATTTTGCGACCTATAATCATTATGCGATGTGGTCAGAAAGATCTAGTAAGTCATTTTGCGATGTAAGTAGTCATGTGATGTGATGAAATAAACATCTACTTAGGGGTGAGACAAAATGTAAAAAAAGAATTAGAGGTTCTAAAACTTTTATAATGTCAGAAAGTACCTACTAGGTTACATAACCTATAATGAAATTATAATGAATTCTGTCTTGATATATACACAGTCAGGTCATAAGTACTACATGCCATCTTCCGTGCACAAGGTTTTGATTAATAGTGAAAGTGTCATACGTCATTTTTCGGTATTGCCTCTTGGACAACTTTTGATTATCAGAAAAAAAACATGATGATATCTTTATTAACACGGGAGTTATAGATGTTTGTGATGAGTCAAAGTTCCCATAGTGCGCCGCCCGACCCTCCCCCATGAACAATTAAATTTTATGAGAAAAAAATTAAGAAAATGATTTTGAGAAAAGTTAGGTATAGTTACAAATATACCATAGATACAAATTATGTTTACCATTTTATTTACTTTTACTAATCATACATCCAGGAGACGGCACTATTGAACACGAACACAAGCCGCATGCTCATAAACAAGATGACACAGTTGTACAGTTGTTATAGTTATCTCTTTCATAAGATATAAAGCAATTATCCTAATCTCCCGACATTACACAAACATTTACGAAGCATAGTCCTTCGTGAATGCTACAAAGCATTTTATTTTATATAGACTACAAAGTCTAAAAAGTTGTAACCTTTAATTGTAATTGTCATCCCGACTGGTCCGACAGTCGACCACCGACTGCAATATTTCATACTCAATCGGTAAATCAGAATATCGCTCATTCTTAACAAACGAAAATAGATGTTAAGGTGACGAACCTTTTCTTACCCCGACTGTACCTTTGAATGTCTAGATTGATGGATTATTATTATAAAATATTATTGTATTTAACAATGTTTTTTTTTATCTTCTAGAATCGATTTCCGAAGAGACAATATTCATGGCGCAAACCAGTGGCAGCAACCAGTTATACTTCTAATTATGATAATCAATACTCAAACCAATATTATAGGGTGAAAAGTGGAACCCCTTTTTATAATAATAATTATAGTAGTCATAAGGTCAGTAAATCATACCTAGTGTTTTTCTTAAAATGTTGTGGTTAAATCAATCAATTGAATAGACTTATGTCCTATTTACAAAATGTATTTAACACATGAATGAATGGAATTAATGACACAAACCCTTCTATCTAAGGAGATCCATTGAGTAGATCAAGGATGGGCATACTTTTTCTAAGCATGCCAATATTTACTATCAAAATCTATGACCGGCCAGGTTTAGATTTATTTACTGTTACTTTATTGAAATAAATTGAAAAAAAAAAAGAAAAGTTAAGTGCAAATTAACTAAAAACTTTTCAGTGAGGTGGTCCTTGTCGGGGCAAAGGATTAAATAGTACTTTTTAGTCGGTACAGTTAACCCCTTAACTTGTTTGTGGGATTTGCCTCTGGTTTTTGGTTAATGGTCGCGGGTGGGATTTTAGAAATTCCACCCATAGAATAATAAGTACTTATACTAAGCCTCTATGTTTTGTTTTTATTCTAAATTTTTATTGAATCTTCACACTAGACGTCTTTATTGATGATAAAAAATGACTATTTTTGGCATTTTTGAGGGCTCATTTGAAACACAAGTTATCGAAAAAAGAAGACATAGGGTCATATAATGCGTAAATTTATATTTTACGCATGAAATCATTTCTTTAGTTATAAAAATTAAGGAGGAATCAGTCGACACGTTTAGAAAAAACAATTGCCCGACTCTACTTAAGAAGTATTTGAAAGAAGAACCTCAAAAAAGCCATTACAAGATCAAACTTAAACAGGTCAAATTTAGGCCTAAAGTTATATTATAATTTAAACAAATTGCAAATGGATTGCCAATCAATAGGACATTTACTTTAAGTCCAGTCAATGAAAGTTTAACTTTGCCATTCTGAGTTGATCACCTGCAACTAACGCGAAAATTTCCGTAAGGGTTCGTAGATTAATATACTAATTTGCAGGGTGCTGCATTGACGGCAAAGGGTGCGAAAAAATGCGAAATTGTGCAAAAACGAGTTTTTCGTCAATATCTCGGGACTGGCTGGGAAAATAGAAAAAGTTCCTAGTACAAAAATGTAGAAAATAAAAAAAGAAAATTTATTGTTAATCGATTTTTTTCCATTTTAAAACGATCCTACGGGTCAAATTCAACAATTACCACTTACTGAAATATTTAAGGAAAAGTTTTCGGGAGTCCACTGAAATGAAAAGTGTCTACCGCAATGGTAAAAATGACCACCTAAATAATACAACCAAGAACATAGCCTTTGTAAAAGAAGGGTTCCCTATTTTGAATCTAAATAAATTTTCTTATTCTTTGTAAATATTTTTGTTCGTTATTTTATAATAAGAATTATTAATTAAGAATTAATTAATTGTTACTCCTATTAATTTATATTACTAATTATAATTGGGTGATTCTCAGTTAAGAGGTAATCGGTTGTATGGAAGCAGTGGCTCAGCAAAAAGTGTCGATATTTATATAACTATACCACTACTTTTATTAAGACAGATGATTTTAATATGATTTTAAGATGATCAGTCATTTTTTTAATTTATTCTCGTTTTACGATACACCAGGGAAGATACTGAGTACAGGGTAGAGAGAAGATGAACTTTATTGCAATGCGCTTAGAGCGCATATTAGGATGTAAAGTACTTATCCGTGCAATAAGATTTTAGTGGAATAACGATATAAAGCTAAACAATTATCTAAAATTATATGCAATTGTACATTCTCCAATAAATTATCGTTACTGGTATTGAGCTATTGCATCGTTTTTATAGTTTTCTTAGTAACCTGGCACCATAACAGCCAGGGGAAATATGGCAGGGGAGAGATATTTTCGTTAAAAATCTAAAATTGCCGTAAAACAACTAATTTTACAAAGATTACAAATAAATAAAAGGTTTGCAGCACTATTTAAAATAAATGTATATAGATATTGTAGTATTTAAACACATAAATATGAAAAAAAAAAATACCAGGGTAAATACTTCGATCACTCAACACGGCTGCACTCATCGAGCGCCGATGGCTTGTGCAGCGTTTGCTGCTAACTTCATGTGACACTCGGTGTCTTCAAGGTCAAAACTACCACAGGCTATGGTAAACAAATACGATTTTCAAACTAAACCTAAGGCCAAGGAGCGAGACACGAAACTCGGAGGACACAGTTTGCGATTAATATTTTTTATAAAAAGTGCAAATATAAAGGAATTTAATGGTTACATACTGTAACTAAGTCATCAGGGTTCATGTTATTACCGTTAGAAAAGTAATAATTAAATTTCAATGGACTCAAAATTACTGATTTACAAAAAAAAACGGTTAGGGGACAACCCAGAGGAGAGATGTTTTTCCTCTTTGTGCTGTTATTGTAAGTAAATTATGCACATTAAGAATATAATTTTAAGGGACAATTTAGAATACATTTAACTTATAATATTTAATAAGTTAATTGAAATTATTAAGATTTTAGACCATAATTTCCAAATATAATGTTTTTTTTGGCTTAGCCGTCGAACATACCTCTTAACTGAGAATCACCCAATTATTAATAAGTACATTTTCAAAATAACGAACAGAGCGCGTTTAGAAAGCGAGAAGTTTATTAGTTACTAAATCGTACCCTCAGTGCCAAAACCGATTATCTGCACTTTTCCCGCTAGTGAAGTTTGATAATACCAATCGACCCGTCTCATTAAGCCGCATCTACAGGTAAAACCCATTATGCTCTACGAGGCATACTTCCTGAAATAGCTAATGAATAAACAGAATAACTGCAAATTATTTCCAAAATTCTTGATTTATAACCTAATAAAACCATTCAAAACACTTAAGTTTGAAAACGTATTACCGCTGAAACCAAGTTTCGGATTTAAACTCATTTTTCATGTAGACACTTAGAGTAAATATCCTGTGAGATTATTCCGCTAAAATGAGGTATCCCACGGTAATTGGCTTTGACTGTTTGAATTTTACCAGATGGTTTAATTTTACTAGATGAAGTAAAAACTAACAAATCTAGGTCGCTTTTTACAAAAAAAGGTATATTTGCGTTATATTTGAGGCAAATAAAAGAAGATACCGAATTTCAATTTGATTTTACTGAACTTTATTAATCACTAATAAATATTACTGCGTGAACTATTCTGCGTGTTTGGTTTAAAATGATAACTACTAAAAAAGATGACGAAAAATAAACTTGATAAAAAAAATGATTTCCATTTAATTTTAAAATTCATTTTTATTTCATCGTGTTCAGCGCAAATTTTGCGTTTAAAACATATTTGCAATATTTATTATCATTATCATATAATAAAATTAAAATCTTTTGTTATTATATGAAAAAAGGAAATAAGAAATAAAAAAATGCCGGAAACATATTAAGTAGATCCCAATGAAGCATGTAGGGGTGAACTCCCCAAGCAAAAAAAATAATACACGGCATTGCTAAGAGCGGCAGTGCAATGTGCTGATTTATGATTTTGTTTTTTTTTTTTCGTAGTTAAGTATTTACTTCTCAACCTTGGCAAAAAGAATTGTTGAGTAATGGGCTCTATTCCATAAAATAAAAATAAATACGAAGTAGCATTTTATCATCACGGTGACCTGGTTTGATGGTGGTTCGATATTTCGGGTGCAGTAGTATTTCTATTTAAAATATCTAGTTTAAAAATGTATATTAAAGTCAAAGCGGACGAAGCCGTTGGCGGCCGATAATATTTTTATATAAAAAAAGTGTAAAAGAATCAGTATTATTAATCATCATCTTGACTCGCTTGCACATGATGAGTTATCAGAAATGGTTTCTGAAGGAAAAAGATCAGATTGGCTTGTTTCTGTAGCTAAAGATCTGTATAATCCATGGTACTCCTCAGGTATGACACCTTTGTTGCACAAATCATCGAGATCTTTTTTCTTTGCTATAGATTTTTTTTTATAAATAGGTTCGACAAATGACTCCACCAAAGGTTAAACTCCTCCGTCACGGAGTCTAGACGCAAAGATAGCTGTTACAACAGTTTTACTTGCCACACCAGCTAACCTCACTTTGCCGGCCTGCAGATTTGCTACTTCACACACGTAAGCGGGCAAAGTTATCCATTTGCGGATAGTCTGACAAAGAAATGAATTACCAAATTTCTTTGTTCACGTTGGAATAGTGGGAAAAGTAGTTCACAGTAAGTCGGTGACAACGGAGGCCAGCGCCTGAAGACTTCTGTAAAAAAGGGGAAGGTAGGTTAAGGAACAATAACTCCTCAGAACATGCGTCATGGTATAGACGATAAAACGCTCTTAATCACGCCACATCACGGCTTAAAGAAGAGGCTCGAGGTGTTTAGTCACCTCCTTATCCCCAATAATGCAGATCGCGCGCCGCTGTAACCTATCCAAAGCACCAAAAAAAGTACTTGGCGGAGCCATCCTCCGGGGTGTGAACAATATTCCACGAAAGACCGTGCTTGCGTCTTGTACAACAAGCACAGTTGCTCAGGCGTGAAAAAACGTTAGTTTTACCGTGAACGCGCAGACCTAGGCTTTCTTGGCATTGAACTCAACCAAGTACTTGGTACCGCATTCTGAAATGCGGTCCAAATCTTGATTGTGTTCAATGACAAGATCCGTCTTGTTCTTGTTTCTCCTTGGTTTCTACCTATCCAGCCGCTGCGTATCAAAATATCCCGCATGCACTGTATAATCGTCTGCATAGCAATGGAGCATAGCAAATCAAGAGGAATTAAATCATTGATATGCAGCAAAGAGAGTGTAGAGATAGGATGAAGCCCTGAGGAACACCGGCATTCACTGACATGAACTGCAAACTACATCCGTCGCTATCCGTCGACGCTCATGCAGGATGTCAGCCACCCAGACACAGAACTGAGTAGGCAGACCGTATCCAGGAAGCTTGCAGAGAAGAATTATGTGCCAGACCCTATCAAAGCCTTGGCGATATTAAGGCTGATAACCAAAGACTCGCCTCGCTTATCGATAACCTCACCCCAGATATATGTCACGTACGCTAGGTCACCTGTCGATCGATTCGGCCTAAATCCGTATTGACGATCGTTGATCAGAGAGTGGTCTTCTAGGTAGCGGGTCAGACGATTATTAAGGACTCTTTCTAAGACTTTGCACAATGCTGAGGTGACAGTTATTGGCTGATAGTTGGTCGGGTAAGTCCACGTGACTTAGTTATTTGGCATTTTGTCGTCTTTCTTAGCAGTTACCATTTTAAACCAAAAACGCAGAAAAGTGCACCCAGTAATGTTTATTAGTGATTAATTAAACAAAAGAATAACAGTGTTGCCCAGCGCGTGATTCAACAATGAATGAATAAAAGTGAGCAACTCACTCGCTAGCGCGCGATTTGTGTACGGAAGAGACGGTTAAACATGGATAGCTGGTTTTAACTGAAGCATAAATTTAAAAGTAACGATGACTAACGCTAATAAATTACAGTGGAAGAAAAGAGTAAGCACCGATAATCGATTTTAGCTGAAGTAATTTATAAAGCGTCGAATAAAAGTTATTCAGTAAATTCAAATTGAAATTCGGTATCTTCTTTTACTTGCCTCAAATATAACGCAAATATACTTTTTTTTTGCAAAAAGCGACCTAGATTTGTTAGTTTTTACTTCATCTAGTAAAATTAAACCATCTGGTAAAATTCAAACAGTCAAAGCCAATTACCGTGGGATACCTAATTTTAGCGGAATAATCTCACAGGATATTTACTCTGTCTACATGAAAAATGAGTTTTAATCCGAAACTTGGTTTCAGCGGTAATACGTTTTCAAACTTAAGTGTTTTGAATGGTTTTATTAGGTTATAAATCAAGAATTTTGGAAATAATTTGCAGTTATTCTGTTTATTCATTAGCTATTTCAGGAAGTATGCCTCGTAGAGCATAATGAGTTTTACCTGTAGATGCGGCTTAATGAGGCGGGTCGATTGGTATTATAAAACTTCAGTAGCGGAAAAGTGCAGATAATCGGTTTTGGCACTGAGGGTACGATTTAGTAACTAATAAACTTCTCGCTTTCTAAACGCGCTCTGTTCGTTATTTTGAAAATGTACTTATTAATAATTATAATTAGTAATATAAATTAATAGGAGTAACAATTAATTAATTCTTAATTAATAATTCTTATTATAAAATAACGAACAAAAATATTTACAAAGAGTAAGAAAATTTATTTAGATTTAAAGTAGGGAACCCTTCTTTTACAAAGGCGATGTTCTTGGTTGTATTATTTAGGTGGTCATTTTTACCATTTCGGTAGACACTTTTCATTTCAGTGGACTCCCGAAAACTTATCCTTAAATATTTCAGTAAGTGGTAATTGTTGAATTTGACCCTTAGGATCGTTTTAAAATGGAAAAAAAATCGTTTAACAATATATTTTCTTTTTTTATTTTGCACCTTTAATTGCATTTTGTGCAAAAACTATGGGAGATACGCGAAAATATGTAGATACCTTTTTTGTAGAAAATTAAATTTTCTACATTTTTGTACTAGGAACTTTTTCGTATTTTCCCAGCCAGTCCCGAGATATTGACGAAAAACTCGTTTTTGCACAATTTCGCATTTTTTTTGCACCCTTTGCCGTCAATGCAAGCACCCTGCAATTTTATTATATTAATCTACGAACCCTAACGGAAATTTTCGCGTTAGTTGCAGGTGCTCAACTCGGAATGGCAAAGTTAAACTTTCATTGACTGGACTATTTGTTTATATTGGATCTTTTATTGTTATAGCTACAGTTGTATTGTACAAATATATTTTTTGTTCTAGTTTAATACCAGTAAAAACAGTTCTTATAAGACAAACGATACGAAAAGTGCTCCACAAATAGTTAAACAAGTGACGAAATCTTCGAATGATTACTCCGATAAACGTGCATCTCATGTAGCTAAAAACATTAATTTGACTACAGGTGTACGAGAAGTTAATATACTTTCTGAGGAGGTATGTACTTTTAAATAACAACCACAAATTGTATAAATACAATTTATAAACTGCTATAGAATAATCAAATAGCACCCATAGACATAGATAATGGACTGAGCGACAATCGAATGGAATTAACTCTTCAGAATGGGAGAAAAAAACTACCAATACATAGAAAACTATGGATTAGCCTATCGCTTTGTCTCTTTTACAAATACTTTTATTTTGATGTCGGTGACACATAGTCCAATCTCTGGCTATAGTATCAGCAGGACAAACTGCAAAGTACGATTTTGATAATAAAGTGTGAGTCTTCATAAAGTGTTAAAATTGGGGATACTACGCTTAATTTTATCGACGTAAAAAAAATATAAAAAAAATGATTTAATAATTTTTTAATTAAATTTTTATAAATCTTGCTTCCTAAAGTGAACTCCTTGTAAAAAAAAGCTATAACTTTTAAACTAAACAATCAATCACAATGAAAAAACTTGTTGATGATTGGAAATAACAGGGACTTTTTTATGAAATGACAATTACAATAAAAAAGCTTTTCTCAATGTTTTGAAAGAAAAACTGATTTTTTATAAATTTTTACAGTAATTGTAAAATTTCTCAATAAAACACTCATTTTATGTAACTTTGTTATTACTTTATAATAATCTACATCATAAATATATTAGCTATTTAATGATGAAAATAGCACATTTACTACTCGATCACAACGGTTCCTATTAACTATGACACTAAGGCGCTCCAGACAAACGCAACAAACGCCTTGGGCAAACAAAGGCGTTTGCTTATGTTTATAAATAATACACAAGAGTTAAATTAAAATCATTTATTATTTTACATCAAAATTAGTCTTATAAAATAGGAATACAAAAACACAGAACACAAAATATCTGCTAATGCATAATATGAACGGCACATAGCCGTGTGCTTGTGCACTTATCTTTAAAAATTTATAAAAAATGTTAAGATCGAGTTAGAAGCGTGGTATTTTTACCTTTCTAGAGCTGATATGATGTAGAATAATTTAATTAATAAAAAACATTGCTGCTTTACTGAGATAATTCAAAATTATTGTGAAAATTGTAGAAAAAAAGCTGTTTTCTTAAAAAACTAACCGGTAAATTGTCAATTGAGGGCATTTTGTCCTCAACTTTCATTTTATGAGAATGCTCTATTGTTTCTTATTATTAACAACGTCTCTTTCATCGTAATTGATCGTTTAGTTTAAGAGTTAAACATATTTGTTTACAAGGAGATCACTGTAGCAAACAAGATCTTTAAAAATCGTATATTTTTTTTTTTTATTATTTTTTCCGTCGATAAATTAAGCATAGTATCCCCAATTTCAATATGGGCACTTTATAAAACTTATACTGTATATATTATTGAATGGTCCTGCAGCGGGTAAAGTATAAGGTATTTTCTCTGTATTAGGATTCCATAAAATAATTTGTTTGTTTTTGCCACATCTTACAAAGTACATTAAAAATCGGCGTCTTCAGTATTTTTAGTTTAGTATATTCATATAATATGTTTATAAATATATTGAAAATGAAACATATATTTAAGTCCTACTCAACGAGCTCTAGGCAATGATGCCTCACATGCTGAGATTATATAGTAAAAAAAAAAAATTTGCAACCACACATGAAAAATAATTTAACTGGAACTGCGACTGGTAATAAACACAACCAAGCGGACCATATGCTTGCTCGCCACCCTTATAAAAATAAATATGTAAATAAAAAATATGGACAAAATGAAGAGTTGCGTTAATCTGTCATTAGTTTTATTTTGGATGTTGCTTTTTGATTATGCCGGTAACTTTTATCAGATAATTGTAAAATCGCCCCTATAAAAAGGAATTTCCCCTGTAGATATAATCCGATATTTTTGTTTATTTTATGGAGTCATTTTGATACCCTGTTATTCGTTTATACACAAACTTTGTATATATCATTAAGAATGTCATATTTTTTTGTTTTACAGTTTACACATTCCGCATTAGCCGAAAGCGAATCAGATGGGAAGCCTTCTGGAAAAGTCTCGGCTTCTCAGAGGCTTTCAAACCTTAGAGATCGTTTGAATACTGTCGATTTGATACCTCTGCAGTTACCGGCCGCGAAAAATGAATGCTTAGTTAGTAAAATAATTATTTCAAGAGATTTTTTTATCAAATAAAAGTTCCTTAAAACTAGTACGTACCTAAAATAATAATATTTTTAGGAATATAGTGGTCCTGTTACTAATGTCACTCCAGCACATAAACTCGAACCTCCACCAGATACAACATCATCGGTAGAGAAGCTTGAGTGGACTTGTAGAAAACTAGGACTGCCACAGCCCGTGTTTAAGGTGCATAATGTTACGCCTAAACGAGGACCTGTTAGTTATGACTGTACAGTGAAAGTGAGTAAAAAAATCTTACACTATACTCCAGCCAATTAAGAAAGAATTTTAATAAATAACTTTAGACACCAATTAATTTTGAAAATACGGAAACCTTTACTTTACACTTGCATTTTTTAAGGCTAATACAAAAACAAAACGTGTTCAAGTCCTGTCCCGCTCGCCATCTAACCTTATGAGTTTCTTGTTATCTATGGGAGCCACACTAGTGGAATGCTCTTAACGTCTGCTTTTCATATCAATATATGTTTTAATACAACGTAATGGGGATTATATCTATTTATTTAGTGTCATGTACTACATTAATAATCGTCACTATACATTTAGTGCTATGTGCTGTATTTAAGTCATTATTAAGATTTGCAAATTTTGAGTCCGCAGTCAGTTCCTACGCAACGGTTTGGTATTATATGTCCTAAGTTTACTGGAGTCTCAGAACAAGAACTAAAGCATAGAAAGAGTTTAAATTTAATTCATAAATTCGACACATTTAGTTATCTTATTTTTACATAAATATTAAAAAAGGGACAAATATATGTTGCCTTGAACAGCGTGCGTACTACTTTACAATCTTCAATTTGGATACCTTGGTTACCTCTCAGAATGTTAACTAAAGCATAGAAACCGCGATAAAATAAGAGCCAGGTACCAGCATCTTACTCGTGTAACGCCAATGACTTGCTATTATACTTAACGGAACAACTAATCAAGCATCAGTCTCCTTTTTTGCAAGGTTGTGGATTTGAGTTGTCAGTTAGATGTAGTTAAGTTAAATATGTTATCAATATTCTATATTCCTGTATTTGTCTAACTACTCTTGTGTATTTGAAGTCTATGTGAGAACCACAATTTAGATACATTAAAAAAATAAAACAGGAAATTTATGGCAACTGTTTTGGTTTTTCTTGTATATTTGAAAGTAAAGGAAAGTATTAAAATTGTTTTCATGAGGGCACCTAAAGCTATTTTAAAGTGTCGGCGAGGTGAAATTTGCGAAAAAGCAGATTTAAGGATTTTTTTCAAGTGACAATTTATACTCTTGCCTTTTTAACGTATATATAGTACAGTCAATCTGTCGAAAAAAATATCGTTTCAGTGAAAAAAAACCTAAAGGGTAAGACTTGTTTTTTCTGTTGCCAAATGACGTCAGTAAGCCACCTTGGCGATGGGCATGTTCAACTCGTAGGCGTTTTTTGAAAAACAAAAAATCCCTCAAAAATTTTTTGAAACGCATTTTTCTTGTTTTGTTAGAAACTTTTTTTTTTTCGACCATAATTGTAGAGGGCGTTGAGTACTACAATTATGTTATTGTTGCAATCTCGTACAACAAAAAATGCGCATTGTAGGTGGTGCTAAAGTTTCAAAAAAGTTTTTTTTCACTTTTTCATCCTGAAAATATCATTTTAATGGAAAACTTTAAATGGAAAAGTTGTTTCGTACATAATTACCAACAACTTTTGTATAAACATTTTTTTTGTATTACTTACCGTTTACAAGTTATAAATTGCGCAGGTATGAAAAATCCAATAGAGCGGTTTTTGGGCAGTTCAAGTACACATTTGCAGTGCACATTTCAATGTATGTTTTTACTATTTTTTTCAATCATGAAAAAAAATATCTTTAACTTTTGTATAAACATTTTTTTTTGTATTACTTACCGTTTTCAAGTTATAAATTGCGCAGGTATGAAAAATCCAATATAGCGGTTTTTGGACAGTTCAAGTACACATTTGCAGTGCACATTTTAATGTACGTTTATACTATTTTTTTTTTATTATTATTTTTTTTCAATCATGAAAAATATAAATTCAACGCCCTCTACAATTATGGTCAAAAAAAAGTTTCTAAAATGCATACAAAACAAGAAAAATGCGTTTCAAAAAATTTTTGCGGGTTTTTTGAGTTTTTCAAAAAACGCCTACGAGTTGAACATGCCCATCGCCAAGGTGGCTTACTGACGTCATTTGGCAACAGAAAAAACAAGACTTACCCTTTAGGTTTTTTTTTCACCACTCAACCTACAGATTGACTGTACTAATAAATGGCAACGATATCAAATACCCTAGATACACCAACACGAACAAAATACACGAAACCTGCCCAAAGGGACATTGGAAGATCCACGGAGCTCCGTAAGATGATCGCATAGTCAAAACAATATAAGGCATTATTTAAACATTGAAAGTTACCTTTAATGCATATTGTATGAGGTCTTAATTAAAACCCATGCGTCAAAGAGTTACGACAGTTCGAAATGAAAGCTTGTAAAATTTTACGACTTTGCCATATGCGGAAGAATATAGACCTTATTTCTTTGAACTCTGCGCGCGATTCTGAATGCGCTGTTAGCAATATAGCAGGTACGAAGTACGGACCGCGAGGAAAAGAAAAGGTAATATTACCGACCATGCATTTGAATATCACAAATATTTTCTATATTTGCTTCGAATGTGTTAAATTAACAAACATTGATTAAAAACCTGTCGAAGAAACGTCACTTTACGTACTATAAGTACTTTTTCCACGGAGCTCTGCGGCAACTTGATTTTCAACGGTCCGCGCGTAACTGTGAACCAAGAAGTGCTTAGTGGTGTTCTTCACTTCTTGATTGGGACACATTTTGAGCACATGTGGTGTATTTAGGGTATTTAATATCGTTGATTTATGGCCACTATTTTCTTTGTGTCAAATGAAATATGTAATTTCGTATTCATTTATCCCCTTCAAGTACTATTTTCACGACTAAAAGTAGCCGTCTTCATGATGCTGCCCATCTCTTCACCGAAGTTCAGCATAATCGATTCAGTCGTATAACAACTTTAAACAAAGAAAAAAAACCCACCTTGGCATTTAAACAAATATTATTCATCACGTTCTAACAAATATTATTCATCACGTTCTAACACACTTCTTCCTGCGAATATATGTTTTCGATTGTTATTTTATCGCGGTTGCTGTGCTTCCTTTATTATTCTGATGTTTACCTTTACGAGACCGAATCAAAAAGCGACCTTATGTCGATGCAACCAGCTAACACGCCACTTATACTTTTGATTGGGTAATTTTTTTTGGAAATGTTTTCGTTAATTTGTTGTCTATGGGAGTGTACGCTCTTAGTACATAGCATTATTTCTATGCTTTCTGTGGCTTTAGTTCTTGTTCTGAGGCTGGAGTATATAAGACTTGGATTTTTCCAAAAAGGATTCGATTACTGTGTATACCTCAAACCAGAGTATTGCTTTTATTGCCTTATTTTGTATCGATACGTGCTTTTGTAGCTTTGGGTAAGCACTTATACGAAAATTTACATAATTTTTTATATAAATTATCAGGTTGGTACTTCCTATTTTGCTTCATCTTATCCGGACTCATCACCATCGGAAAATTTAGCAAAAGAAGTAGCTTCAGTGAAGCTGCTAAATGTAATTGAAAGTTCACAAGCCTGCGGTATGCCCACGTCTTCTACAAGCAACGCCATTGCATGCCTCACAAAATTAGTTGATGAACATGAAGCGGGTCTGTGGGCTAGCACTGTGCCACATTTGTACAGGTAATCAATTTTTTTTCAAACGATTTCGCATGTGTATTAATTGAAGTTTTTTTTTCTCTTTATTTGTGAAAAATTTCAAAGTTTCTTTAATACAAAACAAAAAAAGCTGGTAGTGACACAGTACAGACACAGACACAGTAGAAAGGTGATTAAAAACATTATATTGGTATACTTTTTTGATATACGCCGTCTATGCATGGGTGCAAATTATAATTGAAATAATATATTATTTTATATTTTTTATTTTACCACCTCATTGTTAATAAAATTGCTTAGAATGAGATTTCTTACCGACAAATTCCGATTTATTACTGTCCACGCGTAACCGTCGTTCAATAATTTTTACCACCCATTTAAATTTTTTCCTGCTCAATTATATATTCACTGATCCTTTTTCTTTATTTTTTATTCCTCATTTTTGATTACCTTACTGCTTAGTTTTACCTGTTGAACTAGTTATTAAACGTGCCATTTATAATATTTAACTTACCAAAACTACTATTTACAACTGCCTCTTTAAATCAGTGCCTTTTTATATTTTATCCGGATTATAAATCATAGACATATGAATTCAATTGATAATAATTTGATAGTTATGTTTTTATTTATTTTTTAAGCATTTAACTGCTAGATGTTCAAATCTAAAGAAAAGTTTACTAGAAAAAAAGTTTTGATAGTTATATTAAAAACCCTACTTGTAAAACATTGTTTTTTTCATTATTGTTTTAGAGAAAAGTATGGTGAGAATTTACCAAGTAACTGGCAAGAACTCGTGGAAAATTGTCCACAGATAATTAAAGATAGAGTTGTTAATGGACTTTTAGTGCTTCTTCCTAACAATGAGGTATGTAGATGTATTTTATTCCATATTTATTCACAATTTATGTAATACTGGTTACCAGTTTAGCTTAGGTGTATTATTATAGTACAGCAAATACCTCGCTCGCAAAGCTCCATATTATATTCATACTTTACAGCAGACCTTGTAAAAAACCAAAAATATTGTAAGTATCGTCAGAATAGCTGGATCTATGCTGATGATACGCAGCTGTATAATTCATCAACACGACAAGAGCTAAAGAACTTAGTAACATACATTATGGAAATTCTTAGAAGTATTCAGGTCGGTGTAAAAACCAAACAAATTTAAATCTATCAAAAACACAATTCATAGTTATGGGTAGCAGACGGCTGTGTCAGGAAATGATTGAGCAGCGGTGCTATTCTGTAAAAGTAAACTCACTTCTCACCGCGAAATCCGCATGTAATTTGAAATTACATTACAAAATAGTTTTTTAGGTTTTCACGCACAACACTCATTAAATAAAACAAGCTCCAACGGGTGAATTGCGTTAATTTATTTGTCCCTTGACCTTCAAGCCGCCGAAGAAGATCAACCAGTTTCTACGACGTGCAATATACATTTTCAAGTTGTTTGTTTCTACAAACTTGAATTCAACTGTGGGCTCTCCTATATCGGGCAAACAAAGTGGAGTATAGGGACTCGGCTAAAAGAACATATTGCAGATAAGAAACATAGGCGCGAGAATAAGTCTGCAGTGTGTGAACATGCATTAGGGGGACCAAACCAACACATTAGATTTGATAAACCGCAGATCCTTGCAACTTTCACCAGTTTTTCTCAGAAGGGTCTCCCAATTTTGGAACTGGTGGTAGTTTACGGCAGTAAGGGTCAACTAAATAAACTCAAAAATTTTAAAAGAATTAAATAAAGTAGGTACTTTATTAATTAAATTAGCTAATAAATTCATTCATTCAATAAAAAAAATCTTTCAATGAGGTATCGGAACGCTCAATAAAAGTCTTTCGAAGGTAGCTTGACAAAGTAAGTAAAAATCATAATTCTGACGACGGAGCCTGAAAACGATGCGAAACGTCAAGGGACAAATAAATTAATGCATTTATTGGAGCTTGTTTTATTTAGAATACAAATTTCAAATCCCATGGATGTCGCGATGAAAAATAAGTTTATTTTAACAGTATAAAACAGCAGGAACCAAAACTTTACTTACGGGACGATCCTGTATTGCGAGTTGATCACGCTAGGAAACTGGGTATAATAATAATTGATAGCGAAATGCGTTATGTTGAAATATGTAGAAATCCTTTTTATTGATTTAAAGTATATCTCAGAAGTGAGATTGGTCGATAGCCCCTCAAGTATATTTTTGCCGGTTTTGAAGAACTGGACAACTTTACTTCTACCCCATGCTTTCGACTTGTACTTTCGAGGATGATCACCATGAAAAGTTGGTGGAGGACATCGGAGTAATGGCTTACAGCCCGCTCAGAAATTCTGCTATACTTAATTACATCATTGCCCGCCCCGCCTTGCTGTTTGAGAGCCATACTATTCTTTAATCAGGTTGCGAAGCAATTTATGTTTGCTACGATCATAAGCGCGATCGCCCAGATGCTGTTAGTACGTGACCCGAAAGTATAAATAAGTAAAATATTAAGTATGCGATTTGTGAAGTGCAACAAAGAAAGATATAAAAAGTAGTGAATAATTCAATTAATAAAAATGAATTTATATAACCATATTTTTTAATTTTTTAAGTATTTAACTGCTAGATGTATAAATCTAAAGAAAATTTTACTAGAAAAATTCTACGCGGACCAGGCAACGGGACTCGAATTTGCAGCCTTCGCTATCCGGGCGAATGCACTGACCTTTATGCTACCGCGGCCCTGATGGCCGTGTCGAATTTTCTCTAGCCTTACTTAGGTTGCAAGGCCATCTCGTCGCATTCTAGGTACCTATATATATAAACATTATACATACCTATCAACATATATATAATATCAAAGATATAATCAAAAATACATACCCACAGTGAAACACGAATTAAACATATCATGAACGACCTCCGTGGTCGAGTGGTTTGTACGCCGGGTTTCATGGCTGTCGCCGACTCGAGAAGTCCCGGGTTCGAATCCCGGTGGGGGCAGATGTTTGTGTGATGAATACGAGCATTTGTACTCCAGTCATGGATGTTTAATATGTATATATATAAATATACTTATATATGTAAGGTATATGTATTCTATCCGTTACCCTAGCATCTCATAACACACGCCTTATAGTGCTTACTTTGGGGCTAGGCTAATTGGTATGAGTGTCGGAAATATTTATTATTTATTTATTTATTTATTTAAAGGTTTTGCTGTATCAAATCGCAGCACACCAAACCTGCAACCTGAAAAACAAACACATAATTTAAAAAAAAGGTAACCTACAGTGCCAAATGAATACCTTTACAAGTATTAAAAATTTGAAAGAAGAAATAGTAATTATAGCTATATTTTTTAAGCATTTTTCTGCTAGATGTAAATTTTTTTTATGCATGCTGCCTAGTCCGCGTGGAATATTTTCTAGTAAAATTTTCTTTATAAATAACCACGATGAATCTCTCGCAAATATTTTATGCTCTTCACAAATAAACGCCCACTAGGATTCGTACCCAAGACCTTTGAAACAGAAAACAGAGCACTGACGTTGCACTAATCGATCGTTGTAACGGGGAGACGTTCCATATATTATTTAAAGCGAATATGCTTTTATTTTATTTTTTACTATCACATTTTGTGATATTATACATTTTCAGGAAGTCACTCCACCTCCACCTCCTCAGACCGACTCCACAGTTGGAGATGACACGATCGATAGTGACTTGCCTCCTCTCAAATTTCCAGAAGATGACTTTTGGAACGTATTTGTAACGGTTGCAAACTCAACACTTGAAATCTGGCTTCGGATTATTGGTCCACAATATAGTGTAAGTATGTTATGTAGATTAACTTGTTGGCTTTGCATATTGTTGGTGCGTTTGGTCCACTCAAATACGACAAACACATGATGACCAATAATTTAGTATCTTGCGTTGAAGCAATATTTTGCAATATGTATTTGTTTGTATGTACTACAGACCTAACTTTAAGTAGCACTATGTGGCAAATTGTATGAAAACTAAGGGTGCTATATTTTGAGTTCTCACAACTACAAATTATGTAGTGGAAGAGTATGGGCCCCTGGCCAACTGTTTCAATTCTCTTATTTTTACGGCTTAATATTTTAATTGCGATTGACGTCCGGTGTCGTGAATGCCGAGGCGAAGAAAAACAATAATAATCCAGAATTATACTTGGTCATTAGCCCGTATTTGGGTGCATGAAAGACTTACTCGAATTCGGGTACGTGAGCAATATTTACACTGCAATACGGGCTGGAAGACGGGCAAATAAGTGGAATTCTATTTCAGTTGAAACCTGCCAAAAGTTGATAGGGTCGATGTCACGCCACTGTCATCCACAGCCAAGGAGATGCCACTTAATATTAAATTACATAATTTATTTTCAAAAAAGAAGATTTTTTAATTCATTACAATAAGACAACATTATATTAATTATTAGTTATAGTCGAATTATTAAATTCTCAATGAAAGCATCTTACCGATACCATGAATCCTCATTTAATCATTCTTGACAAATTTCTCAGTTACAATAGAACACCCTTATTCTACGAACCTAAAAAACCTTGGGCTCATAGTACTCGATCGCTCTCGTATTTGGGAAAGCTAAATGGAGAATATATGCCGCAAGGTAAATGGAAAACTAGGTGCGCTTTATCGTAGGATAGAATTTTGTCCCACCGTGCACTAAAATCTCTTGTACAGACCTTTATTCATCCTCTCTTTGATTATGCTGAAACTTGTTTTACTGATATAAATCAACAATTTCTTAATAAATTGGATCGTCTTCTCAATAACACTTTTCGTTTCGTTTTTGGTTACGTAAATACGACCACATTTCCGAGTTCCGCAAAAGACTTGAGTGGCTGCCTAATCGAGAGCGTAGGTATTTAAGGACAGCTTGCACCCTTTTCAACTAACTATACGATCCACGCGCCCCAGGATACCTGAAATCGCGGTGTCACTTCCTGCGGTCTTCCCAGCGATTAAATCTCTACGCAAATGATAATTTGATACTTGAAGTACTCAATCACCATACTACACTGCCATTCGGCTCTGGAATGCACTTCCTCTAGGCGTTCGTAACGCTTCAAAAAGGACAGTGTTGAAGAATTGTGGTGATGGTGTGGTGGACGGTATGGGAACATAATTTAAATCCATCGCACAGTGCTTATGTTGAATCACGATACTAAATTCGGACAGTATATTATAGGTACATATGTACTTACTTATGAATGAATGTGTGTTTGTATGTATGTATATTAATTTAACGCTATTTAATTTTGTTTTTCTCATTGTTTGATGTATGGGAAACCCTACGCGGATATGGAATGTAACGAATAAAATTCGGTAAAACAGTCTATTGAAATTCCACAGTTTCCCACATATATATAAAGACAAAAACAATGAAATCACGGGCACAGACACAAGCAGAACAGATAGTAAAGGATAGAAAAGTTAAAAGTTTAAGAACAAATAAGAAATTAAATAATTGCGATAGCGCGTAAGTCGGGGGCAGAGCGAGGACGGACATGCATTCGCCGCGGGATCGATAAATGCACTGGCCCGGCGCACGAAATATGAATGTCTGCTGCGCCGGCGCCTATAATATAATATGTGGAGAACAAAAGATTGCGATAACAGAAACGGTCAAGTGCGAATCGTTTTGCTATAGTAGCGCGCGCACCCGTCCTCGCTTGTGCGAATTATTTTCGAGTTAAATTATTTTCATTACATAAATATTTTTAAAGCAAAATTTATCAGAAATGAAATTACAATGGTAACAAAAATAAGAAAAAGTTAATTAATTAATAAATATACGCTACAGATGTTTGCTCTTTTCTATGATTGTCTGCTGCTTTATTGACTTTGCACGTTCTATCCGGTTGACTGGTAGAGAATGCCATTCTGGCATTAAGTCCGCCATTTGCAATATAAAGGCATTAAACATTAAATAAATAAATAAGTTATTGTTAATGTTATTGCTAAGTTTTTCTCTCGTTCTCAATTATTTGACCACCTTCGCACCTGGTGCTATGAAAACAATATTTTAATGACACTAAATTAAGCAGCACTAATAAAATATATTTCCTATATATGTAGTATGTTTCTTAATCTCAGAGACAAAAATGGCATTACTTGCCGGTTGATTCCAGTTCTTAAATAGTGGTGTATATTATTATTTTTAATTTCTTTATTAGTAAATCATGAATACAACATTATTTAAACACAGGGAGATTAGAACTTCATAATAAGCATATTATACTAATCAGATATAAATTATGTTCTTCATCATCTATTGCTATAACTAAAGTTCGCTAATGACCACTATATGACCCAGTTGACCGTTATAATTCAAAATAAAAACGTCGTATTGTAATGTACAACCTTAGATTAAAACAAAAAGGAAAGATACGGTATGCTAATACTAGCATCAAATAAAATATGCTCCGACTCAACTACATAAGCAACTTTCACACACGTAAAACATTCAATCGAGCGATCGAGACAGAACTGTACCCTTAGCACGGACCAATATCGAATTCGTATCGTTTGCGAGTCCGAAATGTCATTGTCAAATGTGTACTGATTTTTAGTTCTCGTTACGTACTTTGTGCCGCTGCTGTTCAAGTTTCCATGCAAAATTTGACGTTGACATTTCGGTTTGCAAACTATTCGAATTTGATTATGGTTGGTGCTAGGGGTACTGTACCCTTAGTACGAGTTTGAGCTCACGAAAACTATCATAGTTTTCGTAGTTGTAAATTATGTTTCTTTGTCCATTTTGGTGAAAAGTAACCAAATATACTTAAAATTTAATAAGAAACAAATGATTTAATGATAAAATTTAAACACTGTTTATTTGTATTGAAACGAAAACAATAAAATCAGTACTCTTAATACGGTGCGAGCTCACGAAAATTATCATAGTTTTCGTAATTGTAAAACTCGTACTAAGGGCACTGTACGCTTTAACGCAGCGCGAGCGAAACTGCGAGTCTACGTGCGAGTCCGCACAGCGGAGCTGTATTGTTGTCCTCTTCTTGCTAGCAAAATGGCGAGTACGTAAATAACATTCACGAGAAACCGTGATTTTTGAGAAAAAAAAATGTTTTTACATTTTTTGAGTGAAAAGTGTTGCCGAGATATTTGTTATTGGATTTTGAACTATTTGTGGTCTTTATAAAAACATCAGAGGCATTGTTTTATCTTTGTAACACAGCATACACGCAATAGTGTTATTTTGAGTGCACATGCAACGTGTTTTGAATGTCCAATTGTGACTTAAGCGAATTGTGGTCATGCACCACAATTTAAGCGGATCACTTTTGAGCCGCGAGTGCCTTTTTGTTTTAATCTAAGTGTACAACACATTTAATATTATGAATCGACAAAGAGTGCTATATTTTTTTAAATTTTGGAAAATATAAAAAATACCGTCAAATAAAGAAAAAACTAAAAAAAAACGGTATCGCGGGTACAACACTATATAATAAAAGCTGGTATCATTATTTGTAAATTTGACATTTGCATGTTTAATTTTTGTCTCCCAAGATTAAAAAACAGAGTTTAATTTCTTTTTCGATTATGTTAGTCTTCTAAAGATATTAAAAGACAGGAAAGTCAATATTTATCAAGAAGTAATACTTTTATGTGTTATGAACATTGGAATTTTAAAATGTTGTCTTTGTTAAAAGCGTTCATAATTATATTCATATTAATAGATATTTTTATATACACTGTATATAAAAATATCCGTATTATTCTGTTAAGATCGTAATAAAAAAATGTTTCATAGGATGCTTTCGAATCACTATTGGTGGATATGGCCGCTTACTACGAACACTCTGGCACAACTGTTGACAGATCAATGCTAATAAAAAATGCTTGGTAAGTGTTACTGTGATGATAACAAAATCACCACTGTATTTTTGAATCCTATTTTTATTTATGGAAATGTCTGCATAATAATAGGCTATTTGGCAAGTTTTTTAAAGTGTTCATACGTTATTTATTATTATATGGTGACTCCATAAAAAGTGGATATTTATAATTATTTATTATAGTATTAAGTAAAAATATAAATACGATTTTAATATTATTTAAAAAAATAAAATAAAATTCTGATTTCAAATATGTTGCGGAAACGTTTCTCTAGCCAATGTGGTGTCTTACAGGCATGTGACGGACGTCACACGGCTGTCATTTAAACGTCAAACAATACAAAGTAATGTTCGCCGACATACAATAGGAAACGCCTAGATAGTTTCGCCTCTTTGTTAGTTGAAAATACGAGACTTATTTATTGTGAATCTGGTGTCATTAGCACAGTTTTTAATCGGGCACTTTATCATTGCGAGGCATTGTAATCAAAGCGCGGTCTAATCCATTCTGTTTGAAAATTACGCTCATTAGACGTCTGTGCGCAATTTTGCCTTCAACACTTTTTGAGCGTGATTATGAGTCTACTGGTTTTTATACCTCAATGACTTAATAATTAATAATATAAAATATGTACGTAATATAGGTACGCAGTCAACGTAGATGACGGCGGATGGCAACGCGCTAAAATAATGGAAATCGATGATGATACAGCGTCTGTCTTTCTGGGTGATCATGGAGATGATGATGTAGTCAGTATACATAAAATAAAAATTTTGGAGACTCAATTCAGAAGACTGTCTGCTCAGGTAAAACATCAACTCTAATATTACGTTTATATCACAGAAGCTGTTGATTTTTTTTAATTTATTTAGGAAAATAAACAACTGCACAGTAAAATTTCGATAACAACAAAGTTGACATAATATGATTTATTGAACAATCAACACCATCATCCTTAAATTATGAAAATAATACATCTCAAGATACAGAAAAACTAAAAGTATTTTCCAGTAAAGTAGCCTTGGCTAGGCTGGTGATTTTTATATAAATGCGTGTATCGGTACGAGTATAGCATTATATTGTCTGAGTTACTGTATTAGCGTAAAAGGAACATATTTTTGGCGCCCCCCTGAATTGCCACTCACATTCATAAGGATCCTTCTCGTAACTACTGTTTTACAACAAACAGTGTGTTCCGTCAGGCGATACTGTGCCGATTGGAGGGCGCGGAAGAGCTAGCGGCAAGCGCAGCGGGCGCGGCGCTAGTGCGGCGGCGACTGCCGGGAGAGGTGCTGGTGGCAGCACCGGGTCCGCGCACCGACCCGCATGACCCGTCCGTGGCGCTCGTACTCTACGATACCTCCACGCAGCGCGACCTCAATCTCAACAAAGAGATCGTGCACGACTTCTGCATGGCCGCTGCGTTCAACATCACCCAGGTACCTAATTCACCGACCAGCACGACCCGTCCGTGGCGCTCGTGCTCTACAACTCCTCTACGCAGCGCGACCTCAACTTTAACAAGAGGACGTACACAACTTCTGCATGGCCGCTGCGTTCAACATCACCCAGGTACGTAGATCACCGACCCGCACGACCCGTCCGCGGCTCTTGTGCTCTACGACACGATACGTGGGGACGTTGCACACAATGTCGCGTGCAGACGCCAGAGATACCTTGGGAATATAGGTTTCCAGCCCCGTGGGATGACATCCGGTGACCAGTCTTGGTTGTCCACACTGTCGTATGGATCCGCGACCGGGCCAAACGCTCCCAGCGGTTCAGAGACCTCGCCTGACTTCCTTTTAACGGGAAGGTCATAGCCGATTGACCCTGGTTGGCTAGTTCCAAGGCCTCCCGTTTAGGAAGAAATCAGGGCCGAAGAGGTGTGTTACTGTGGTGGTTACCTACAGCTCAACCTCCAGGTTCCCTTCATCCCTCCGCACGGGTCTCCACGCACGGCAAACACGCGGGTGGTCAGTTGAAACCTGCCATCCTGGTTTTTTGGATGACCGGCCCATGTCGGCGTGACCACAAACGTCGATTATGTTATGAAGATGCGTCAGGTAGTTTCGGTTGCATTGCTCATCAATAACGGGGTGGCAACCATGGGAAGGATGACTACCTGCCTTGCCTTAGGGATCTACACGACTGTTGCGCTCTCCCCTAAAGCCCTTCGCCTAATCACACGCCAGAAGGGTGTGTGAAAAAGGGGCACGCCTAAACCAACCCTGACTAAAGGAAAGTTTTACTGGTGTTAAGCTTACCCCCACCCCTTACATGGCCGCCGCATTCAACATCACCCAGGTACCTAGGTCACCGACCCGCACAACCCGTCCGTGGTGCTCGTGCTCTACGACACTTCCACGTACTGCAAAAGTGTGCTTAATTATGTTGTAATGTGTTTGTATTTGGTAAAGATCTGTAATTGGCTTTTTGTTATTATTTAAGTTTTTACTCTTTATATTATTAGGTGTAGGTCTTTCAAAAAAAAAAAATACAACAAACATTAAAAATGTTGGGTTTCCTGAAACGCCTATGTAAGAATTTTCATAACACCGCAACAATTTTATGCTTGTATAAGAGTTTGGTACAAAGTATACTAGAATACAGTTCCCAAGTCTGGAATCCGCAATATCGAGTTCACATTGATAGAATCGAGCGAATTCAACGTAATTTTACGAGGTTTCTTGCTTTCAAAGACAGGAAGTGTCCTTACCACACTCGTCTCAAATACTTCATACCTTAGGAAAGCGTAGAAAAACCGCGGACATTTTATTTCTGCACAAATTACTTCACGGCAATATTGTTGCGCATGACCTTCTTGCGGAAATTAAGTTAAAGGTTCCCAGAAAAATCCCCCGCCAACCCATCAAATCATTCGTAAACTGTCCCTTTAAAACAAAATTAGCTTCACCGTTTAACAGAATTAAAGATGCATACAACGAGATATGCCATGATGTTGACATCTTTCATGCTCCACTCAAAGCTCTCAAAAATCATCTGTATGGTAATGTTCAAACCGAACAGTATTTTTTTTCTGTTAAAAGTATAAGTACCTACCTAGTACCTACTACCTACATATAGTCAATGTTGTACATGCCTGCAATTCACACGGTTGAGTACTACCTGCATCTTAAATCTATATTGAAATTTTTGAAATTGTCGATGGTATGTCAAATAAATAAATAAATACCACAGTTAAATCGACAGACGTAAAATCAGTTGAATATAAAGTTCAGTGTGGTGACAGAAACCGTGTGAGGTGGAGGTCGGGTGCGTGAGTGAGGAGGGCCGCGTGTGGGTGTCGCGCGCGGGCGGCGCGGACGTGGTGCGCGACGCGCTGGCGCTGCTCACCGCCGGCCCGTACCGCCGTCCGCTGCCTGCCGCGCCGCACGCGCCCTCGCCCAACGCGCACACGCTCTACATCGTACGCACCCTCGCCGGCGACTGGTACGTATCCGCCACACAAACACACACACACGCACGCACGCACGCACGCACACAGGCGCACGACAAGCTCCGATATAAACAATTGATAATTCGGAATGTTTGCGTTTAAATCACCTTTTATAGGGCTTATAGATGTTTGTGGTATTCGAATGATAAGGATTACGCTAATAGAGATGTGCGAGAAGATGAGAAAGAGTCGCCAAGACTCCATAGCGAGATGCGAATTCTAATGGGTGGATCGATGTGGATCGCCAGGAGTGTGAACAGAGGTCGGTCAGGATCGCAAAATATTGCAACTCTGATCAGATAAATGTGATCATGATCCTAGATCGCGGGATCGCTGCTTCAAGATGGATGGTCCGGTGTGGACCCAGGCAAGGAACTAACGTTGTAAAGCTTATCCTTTAATGCGGGCGATTCACTTTGCCATTCGTGTTTGGTATTTGTAAATTTGACATCAGTCTGTCTTTTTCATTCCTTATAAATCATGGAAGACTATTGTCAAGTTCATAAATAGCAAATACGAATAGCAAAGTGAAATGCCGGCACAAGTGGTAAGCTAGCGGTATCGGATGTCGACAGTTGAATAACCATACAATAGGTACAATATCCTAATAGTAATAAAAAAGAAAATAATAATATATCCACATGTATTAACAGAACATTGAAAACTGGAACGAACTATGTGGTAAACATTTTTCCAGCCTTGCATAAAAACACCGTTTTCGTACTACTTGCTCAAAAAAGTGACATTCTATGCCACAAAAAGCGAACAAAACAATAGTAATTTTTAATCTGTTAAAAACAGGCAAAGAAAATTGAACTGATTTTCATTCATCCTCTTGCTGAGATTAAAACAAAAAGGGTAGATACGGTACCCTTATACTTGCATCAAAGAAAAACTGATCCCACGGCAGCGCGAACGGGACGGCGAGATCCGCGTCACTGCATTACCGACCCGAACGAAACAGCACGTTAAGTTTCAACGGCAGCGCGAACGAGACGGAGAGATCCGCGTCACTGCAATACCGACCAATCACGCGACCAGTACTCGACGTCACTACCGAATAAGATTCAAAACAAACAGCAATTTTTATGAAAAAATATATTTTATAGTACTAACGAATGAAAAGTGATGCCGTGGGTTTTATTTTTAGTTCTTGAGCAATTTGAGCACTTTTTAAAAATACACATGCCTTGTTTTATCATAAAACAACAAACAAAAAAAAAGTATCGTACTCGTAAAAGTATCGAAACAAAAATATCGATACTTCAAAGTATCGAGTACATTTAATAGGGCCTTATCGGAGCCTCTGTGGCCTGATGAGCAACCCCCCCCCCCCCCCCCGGGTGTTAAAATTGAAAGAAAAACAATCGAATTTTAGTATAGTACGTATACTCAAAAACAAAAAAGGACATGTAAATTCACAAATTGTTATATTATATAATGAAAAGAAAATAACTGTGATTTCTGACACTAAAAAATTGTTCATTAATATTACATTCATAATTAAAATGTTAATTAAAAAGATCGAAATCTTAAACAATTTAAAAGTATGAAAGTTTTCAGATTTGTTTCAAATTAAACTTACTTTTCTTGAATTTTAATCATTAAAAAACATTATACTTACTTATGTTAACTTGAATCTGACACGCAGTTAACGGCTGCCATTGGCATGCTTCACTTTAGATTATAATTATAAAAGAGGTTAGGTCCGTCTTTTTTTCAGGTGTTTTAAATAGGTACACACAGCACAGACAGAATAATAGTGTTACAATTGAATTAATCAAATACAGTCAAGCGAAAACTACAACAAACGGCGAATCAATCACACTTCCTAACAATATGGTCGCCAAATAAATAACTATGAAACAAAACAAAGCGCAAAATAAACACAGTCACAGATTGGAAAGAATTTGAATATGTCAGTTACTGACTTTATAACAACACAATAGGGCATTTGACAGTATTAAAAATAAATTGCCAAAATAACGAAAAAGATATTAGTTTTCTTATCTATTGTCACGTAACCCAAAACGCTTGGGATTGGCGGAGCCTAAAATGACGTCACACCCAAGTAAACTTCCAGTCAAAGTGACATTACATTGTATCGTTTGACGTTTTAATAACAGTCGTGTAACGTCACACACTAGTAAGACGCCATATTATCTAGAGAAACGTTTTCGCGGCAACTTGAAAATGGATTTTTGATTTGGTTATTTTTACTGAAATACACGACAGAATGATGAATATCCACTTTTTACGGACTCCATAAACATTAGTCAATAACGTGAGATCGTTGCCTAAAACTTGTCAAATACCCTATGGAACATTTTAGAAGGTTTGCTATGATTTAACAAGATGGCGTTGCCATCAATATGAGGCGCTTATCCAAATTTTTAAAGGTATCGATACTTGCCAAAAAGTACTTATTTAGTAAAAGTATCGAATACAAAGTATCGAGTACAAAAGTATCGGTATCGAAAAGAAAAGTACTCGATACCACAAAGTATCGATACTTTTTTCGTGTCCCTACATGTACGTCGTTTGCATGTCAAGTTGTGACTAAAGCGATTAGGGACGTGGACCACAATTCATGCGGATCACTTTTGTGAGGCTCGTGCCGTATCTACCCTTTTTGTTTTAATCTAAGTCCTCTAGGGGGAGAATGTGATTTAAATTTGGAATACTTACCGAAATTAATACTGAACTACATCTATGTTTACACCATTGAGTTCATTAGTGATGTAACGAATGTCATTTTTTGAACATTCGCGAATGCGAATCAGGATGCGAATGCCTGGTACCGACATTGCGAATGCGAATATTTAGTTTTTTTTTAAATTGGCGCCAATTGTCTATGGCATGGTGGCAGTCTCGTTCGAATTGCCGAGTTGATATGAACTCATCCGACTGAAGTGTCATTCCACTCGCACCGGTCTTTCCGTAAACAAAACAAGTGAATTTTGAGGTTAGTGATTGTGAGTGGTAATAGTGATTTATTGACATGAGTAAATCGAATTCTAGTGAAACATGGACTTATTTCACACTTTGCGATGCTGAACGAGCTAAATGCAAACTGTGTAACAATGAATATTCAAGGAAAGGCAGAACTACAACTTCTTCAAAATGTTTTTTTCTAATAGTCATATTCGCAAAACATTCCTAGAGATTTTGCGAATGCGAATGTGAATGCGAATATTCAAAAATATGCGAATATTCGCGAATGCGAATATTCGTTACATCACTAGAGTTTATATATAAAGCATTATACATCTTTTTGAAAAAGGAATACGCATTTATTGTGCAGTTAGGGGCCGTTCAAATATTACGTAAGCACTATATGGGGACAGGGGGGGTCTTCGCTTTGCTTATTTTTGATGACATGGGGGTAGGGGGTAGAGATAGTCATTACGTCAGCATCATGGATTCGCCATGGACTGAAGCTGTTAATTAGAATTAATATGTATACCAAAAATTCGAAAGAAGTGTGTTTAGTTCGTAATAGTACTTAATAAGATTATAATATTTGTACCTTTTTCTATGTTGAATACTGTGTCAATAAAGTTTATTTAAATTAATATTATGCTGCTGCTCATGAAGCTCATGAAAGCTCATGAAATAATAAAAAAAACAGAACACGTTAAAGGAAAAATGCATAAAGGTACCGATGTTTACGTAAGCATGTGGAGGGAGGGGTAAGAGCTTTGCTTACTTTTGCTGACAAGGGGGAGGAGGGGGTAAATAATTGTAATAAATCTGCTTACGTAATACTTGAACGGCCCCTTATGATTATTAAATAAAATTACGAAAACCGACGAGGCCGATTGATGCCTTTGCTTTTCCGACAAAAAAATATTAGTCTAGGAATTTGCCGCGTTTTTATTTTCTTCAAATACATAAACGTTTGTTTATTTTAACTTATTTAAAGTTAATGTTCTAAAAATACGTTACGATGTTAAATGAAAGCGACAGTGACAGTGAATTGTCGGATTCCATCAATGCAAATGATGCCGCAATAGGCTAGTTGACTCATGTCGAATTGTATTAAATAAATGTTTATTTCTTAAAGTATTTGGTCTAGGGAACCTAAATATATCGATTTCACTTCATAAAAGCAGAAGATTGCTGTAGAAATTTAATTTGAAAAAATAATTTTTAGTCTATACTTTTTAAACACTAAAAACGCTGTTCACCACATCCTCCATGATTGTGACGTCTCTTTTAGTAAACAACTAAATGTCATTCATACATAACTTTAAAACTTGTATTATTAAAACTGATAATAAATGAAGAGACTTAAAATATTATTCAATGAATACTTCGCAAAAATAAATTTTACTATGAGTCGATAAAGTTGCAGGATCACTTTTAGCAAGTTCTAACCAGGTATTGCGTAGGTTAATTTCTTTCGGCACTTTAATTCACAACTTTCCTGAAGTCTTCAAGGTTTTTTTTTTACATTCTCGTACAATACAATAATGATAATTACTATATTTTTCGTGGTATCTATTAGAAATCATGTTTTTTTTATTATAAACTCAGATAGGTTATTTTCTACGTGCTTACGAGTTTTTGTTTACTACCGTCGACGTCATAGCATAGATAATCTAGAGACTAAAATGGCCGACAGCGTTTTTGTATGTCCATGAAAAGTCTATTTTAAAATTGAAGATTTGTAGCTTTCTAGGTCTCAAAAAAATACAATACATATTTTTTCGGTCTAATAGAACATTTATTAACCATTTAAAACCTTTTTCCAAAAAGGGTCAACTAGCCTATTATAAATAATTTGCTTCCAACAAAATCCAAGGAAAATTATTTAAAAACTTATGAAGAATTTTCAACGTGGAGAAGTGCGAAAGGCCTATCAATTTCAGAATCAGTACTTCTTGTCTATTTTGATTATTTATCCAAGACAAAGAATCCAAATACACTTTGGTGCATATACTCAAAACGGTGTGAATGTGAAAATTGGACCAATGTTTCGAATGTTAACTTTTACTTTTAATTGTCATTATTTTTAATAAATGCTTATCTCATATTATCATTGTGTTAATTTTTTCGCAAATGGTACGAAAAGTAGAGTATTTTCCTCGGTGATAAAGCTGTCTTAGTCTTGGGTGAACTTAAATCCCTCGCTACACTCAGTACTCGTCTTAAATCCCTCGCTTCGCTCGTGATTTAAGTTTTTAACATCCTTGCTACGCTCGGGAGTAAACCTCGAGTCCTTCGTTACGCTCGCGATTTAAATCGTCACCCGTGACAGAAGACACTGCTTTATCCCCTTGGTTAATAATCTACTAATTTCGGGCAACGTCACTCCAGTTACATCATTCGTCAAACTTATTGAATGTTTTAGGGTTCGTTGCACAATAATAAGCGGCTTGGACGGCGAAGGCACTGTTCGGACGCAGCTGGTGGATAGCGGACTGATTCTTCGAGCGCCTCTATCATCTCTAGTGCCGTTGCAAAACTTTTCGCCCGCTTTGAGTGCTTTCCCTTGGCAGGTAAATTTTAAAAGTTCCATTATAAAAAAAAATAAAGGTTTGTTCATTTCTGCATTATAATTCGTTGGTATCGTAAAAGATGTATTTTATTTTCAGATTATAAGGGAATTTATAATATTAGAGAGGTCATAATGAAAACAAGGAAGAATAAAGGGTTAACTATAGTTTTCTGGGGTACACCAATTAAGTTTATTTGAGGTGTTAGTGATGGGATGAAATTATTAATTATGTAAACTCTGTTTTAATATAATTTCGCCTGTTGCTTGAGAGTAATATTTTATGGAATTAAATTTTTTTATCATTATAAAATTATATTTGAGAAGGACTCGTCGAATTCGACACACTCATGCTTTCCTGTCCATTTTTACTCTCAGTTGGACAGAGAACACGAAATCATTTGTCTATGCCCGCGATGTATTTTCACGAATATCATTGCTATGAGTGTGAACCATGTATGGAGTCATCATAATATGAAAAATTGGTATGATGTCGCAGGTGATGAAATTTATATTTTGTATAACATGTAAAATATGAAGTTACACGATATGAAGTTAACGTAGACAGCAGCGCTCTCACTGAACCGTCACTGACGTTCATAAACAGACCCTTGTCGTGTACTGTCTCGAACCATTGTGGATCCAGCATTAAAATAATCTTTTCGCGGTTATACAGGCAATGCAGGTACGCCTTGGTGCTGCGGAGCGCGCGGCTAGCAGCATGGTGCCGCGACTACGCGAGCTGCTCCTAGGCGCGTGCGTGCTGTGCCGCGCCCTGCCACCCGCCAGCCACACGCCGCCACACGTAGAGCTGTTCGTACGCACCGGCCCGCAGAACATCCTCGCCTCCGTCAACAACGCCGTCCTCATGGAGTTCGAGTACCTGCAGCTGTAAGTGCTGCACATCATGTATAGTGACGCGCGTGCGTGCGGTGCCGCGCCCTGCCACCCGCCAGCCACACGCCGCCGCACGTAGAGCTGTTCGTGCGCTCCGGCTCGTAGAATATCCTCGCCTCCGTCAACAACGCCATCCTCATGGAGTACGAGTGCCTGCAGCTGTAAGTGGTGCACATCATGTATAGTGACGCGCGTGCGTGCGGTACCGCGCCCTGCCACCCGCCAGCCACACGCCGCCGCACGTAAAACTATTCGTGCGCACCGGCTCGCAAACATCCTCGCCTCCGTCAACAAAGCCATCCTCATGGAGTACGAGTACCTGCAACTGTAAGTGCAACCAGCAACTGTAATACCTCATGTATAGTAACGCGCGTGCGTGCGGTGCCGCGCCCTGCCACCTGCCAGCCACACGCCGCCACACGTAGAGCCGTTCGTGCGCACCGGCCCGCAGAACATCCTCGCCTCCGTCAACAACGCCATCCTCATGGAGCACGAGTACCTGCAGCTACGAGTGCCGTATATCATGTATTCAGAGATGTGACATTTTAAAAATAAAAATATTTTAAATGCAGAATACAAAATACCTATTTCCATTTTGTATTTAAATACTTTATTTTTAAAAAGCATTTTATTTTTAATTTCAAATACCTTTTAGGACATATTTCGTATTTGCAAAAGGCAAAATACTTTTTGCTAAGTTTTGTAAACATCGAAGAATTAATAATTAATGTGTATTTGTAACACTCACACACACACTGTAATCTTCAATTAAAATCTTGTTACAATAAAAGGGTACTGTAAATAAAACACTATGTAACTAGATCTGATCAGATTCGTTTATTATCGACTTTTTCGTATGAATTCGGGATTATTCGGTCACCTTACCGTGCGGTGAGTTTTCGTTCCAGTGCTGACATTTTAGCGCTTTGCACGCTAGATCTAGCACTTTTTTGGTATGGATAGCGCCTATTTCTAAATTTTAGCGCCTAGCGGATAATCTGGTGCTTTTTCATTTATGTCGTTATAGCACTCTATTACCGATAATTTATGGCCTCGGCAAACCTCTCTATTATTTTTTTATATCAGAACTACACTTATCTGTCGTTTTGTGTTGTGACGCGACAGAGAGGTATCGGTTTCATATATTTAGAACTATACTTGTGCGTCGCGATGTTTCGACACCGTTCTCACTCTGACCGTACTACTTAATGTATGAAACCGATATATCTGTGTGATGCGTCACATTGTATTTGAGCAAATTATTTTATTAAAATCTGTTAAGTAAATTAAATTTAAGTAAGTTATCAAAGTAAATTAACCGGCCTGTTAACTGGCTAAAATAAGTAAACTTTTCAACAAAATAAAGATAATTTTAAACTAAAAGTATTTTATTTTAATAAAGCATTTTGTATTTTAAATATAGAATGAGAAACTATTTTGTATTTGAAATAACAAATTACAACAAGTATTTGCATTTTGCATTTAAATACATTTTATAACCTATTTTGCACGTCTCTGCATTTATAGTGACACACGTACGTGCTGTGCCGCGCCCTGCCGCGTATTATTTAGTAATTCATTAAGGATAAAGTTTTATGCACCCAACTGTTTGTTTTTATTAAACACATTTTGCTCACAGTGCAGTGTCAAGTTTTTCATAATTACTAAAACTGTTTTTATGACGGGAGAACTAAAATGGTCTAATTTCGGACAGTAAGCACCCACAAGTTGTTATTATTCATCATCATCCTATTCAGCCGGATTTAATGCTCAACCGACAGTTGTAATAATGCATTTAATGCTACGCAGATGACGAACTGAGACGCGTGTATTTAGTTCTCAATTTCATACATACGGGCGGTCGCTCCGGCAGCGAAGCACTACTCGCATACATACATTGATAGATATACTCTGTGTAAAAAGTATCGGGAATATGTCAATAAAAAGATGCGCGAAAAAGAGGTTTTTTACTGTATGTTAGTAGCACTGTACTGATTTCCCGCGCAAATTTTGAGCGGGATCTGTCATTTAATTTGTTTAATACCTACTGCACTTTTTGTCATTTTTTTGAGTTTTTTACAATAGAAAATATTGTTGATCAAAGAGTGTGCTTTGAATTTTGTGTTTCTAATGAGATTTCATGTAGTGAATCGCTTTGTTCAAAAAGCGCAGCGAAAGCATGGCGCTGAAGACATGGTTTCCCGAGCTTCTGTGGATCCTACCTTTATGAAACGTGTAATAACTGGCGACGATACATGGGTTTATGAGTACGACATTCAAACAAGCCAACAGTCTTTAGAATGGCGTTTCGAAAACGAGCTGAAACCCAAAAAACCGCGGAAAAGTCGCTCCAAAATCAAGGTGATGCTTCCAGTTTTTTTTAAACTACCGTGTTGTGGTTCTCTCCAAATTCCTTCCAGAGGGAGAAACAGTGAATAAAGAATATTATTTAGGCGTCATGAAGCGTTTTCGTGAGAGTATCCGCCGAAAACGTCGAGATTTGTGGCAACCCAACTCATGGATGCTGCACCATCACACAGCCATTATTGTGAAAGAGGTTTTAGCGAAAAATTCAACCAAGCACCGTATTCACCTGATATGGCTCCGTCTGACTTTTTTTATATCCCAAATTAAAATTACCACTTCGAGGAAAACGTTTTGAGTCGATAGAAGCCATAAAAGAAAATTCGCTGTATGAGCTAAAGGCCATACCGCAAGTAGCCTACGAAAAATGTATGGAGGACTGGGTGAAGCGGTGGAGATGATGACCTACATAAAATTAATAATTAATGAAATATATAAAATAATTCATCTAAAATAAATTTAGACGAATAATTTTAGTTTTATTAAAAAAATCCCGATACTTAGTACACAGAATGTATATACAAGTGTACACCTATTCACGCACTCACTCTCCATCTCACACACACACACGCACGCACGCACGCACGCACGCACGCACGCACGCACGCACGCACGCACGCACGCACGCACGCACGCACGCACGCACGCACGCACGCACGCACGCACGCACGCACGCACGCACGCACGCACGCACGCACGCACGCACGCACGCACGCACGCACGCACGCACGCACACACACACACACACACACACACACACACATATACCTGAAACTTAAAGAAATAGGTTGTTATTTGCCCAAAATTAGTTGACCACACTAGGCTAGATATAGCTACTTCCAACCGACGCTACATCAGCGCCGACTGCCAGTCGAGCACTGTTTCCAACCTCAATGTCCACAGCAGTGAGAACATTAGTATACAGGCTGTTGATGATGATCAGTGGTAAATAGGATCGAGGATTATCAATCCATTTATATGACCGAGTCATACTGATATGTTTAGGGACAAATCCAAGGAGGAGGAGAAGGAGCCCACCAATCACGTGGAGGAGCTGCACAAGAAGAAAGAGCGCATCTTCCGCAGCCTGTCATCTGTCGCGGCGGCGGGAAGTGGGGCGAGCGGCGTCCTCAGCGAGCAGTCGTCCGCGCCCGCTGCGCTGCCGCCGCCCACTCTGCCCGCTCCCGGGAAGTGCTTCGACGTCTACATAGCCATGGCCGCCAACCCGTGGAACTTCGTGGTCAGTACCAGCTGTTTTTTAGTCATTCTAGAAGGAGACAGATGCCACCAACCACGCGGAGGAGCTGCACAAGAAGAAGGAGCTCATCTTCCGCAGGCTGTGATCTGGCGCGGCGGCGCCCTCAGCGAGCAATAGTCCGCGCCCGCCGCGCTGCCGCCGCCCACTCTGCCCGCTCCCGGAAAGTGCTTCGATATCTATATAGTCATGGCCGCCAACCCGTGGAACTTCGTGGTCAGTACCAGCGTGTTATTAAGACAAGGCGGAGGAGAGAGGCCACCGAGAAGGAGCGCAACTTCCGCAGCCTGTTATCTGGTGGAGGGATAGAGATTAGATACTCCAAACTTTAATTATATACTAAAAAGACCAGTATAGCTACAAAAGGTCCCGCAGTGTCGCGAGCGGGCGTACCGCGCAATTTTTCGATCTTTAAATCCGGAACTCTTTTGTAAATAAATTTAATAAACTGCTTTTATTTATTTATTCATGAAAAACAAACGGCATGTTAAAACAAAGGATAGAACCAAATGATTTAGTATTAATAAGCCTTACAGAGTTTTCACAAGTAGATATCAAACATGATATAATACTAATAATAATAAATTTATTGCTCAACAAAAATAGGTAGGTACCAGGATTGCACTGGATAATTATCGTGATAATTTTCTTGATAATTATTGTTGATAATAACGAGTAACTATTATTGTACAAAACAAAATAATAGTACATTGTTGTTGAGGTGCGGAAAACCAGCAATTGCTGGACGAGTACAGTTTGAATAATTCGAGTCAGTTCCGCCGAGGCTTATATAGTGCTTTTCTCAAAAAATGCATGGAAATAAATAAAAATTCTGTAGAAAAAGAAATCAGAAATCCCTAGTTGTTTTAGTTTTCCCACTAATCGTTTATTTTGGGTTAGTCTGTTTTTCATAGGGCAAAGGTTACAGCCATTCAGCCTAGAGTTTGGTTTATAGAAAATAAGAAAAAATATAAAAAAATGATAATAAACGAGTAAACACCAGTATAGTTTTCCCACCAATCGTCGTATGGGCAAAGGACACATATGGCCACACAGCCATTACACACACGGTTTTTACATACTGAGAAAAAACAAAAATACAATTATAAAGTCGTACATATGACATAATTAATAGTTTTTTTAAAAAAAAAAGTAGTCTCAGACTCAGGTAAAAGTTATGTCTAAAAATAGAAAAAATCTTTCATTTATATATAATATGTTATTTGATTTGATAGTTGGATAATTATCCGATAATTATGAGAGAAAATAATTATCTTGATAATTTGCAACCCTGATAGCTACATGAAAGATTGAATATCCTGATATAGAAATCAGGCTAGGATGCTAGATAGTGTGTCTTTTCCCTTCTTTACTTGATAAACATCTCCGACTTGACCGACCTCCTTCTCCGATTGACGACCTCCGTGGCCGAGTGGTTTGTACGCCGGGTTTCATGGTGTCGCCGACTCGAGAAGTCCCGGGTTTACATCCCGGTGGGGGCAGATGTTTGTGTGATGAATACGAGCACGTACATTTGTACTCCAGTCATGGATGTTTAATATGAATTTTCTATAAAAATATACTTATATATGTACAGTATATGTATTCTATTTGTTACCCTGGTATCCCATAATACAAGCCTTTTAGTGCTTACTTTGGGGCTAGGCTAATTGGTGTGAGTGTTGGTAATATTTATTAAATTATTTATCTCCGTTTCCATATACTCTAATGTTACTAACCACATTCTTATTTTAGAATTGGCCTCACAAAGATTAAGCGAAAGAATATCTAATTGTTTATTTAATTTATTATAGTGTTTTAGCCAGCTAAATACTTTGGCGTCTAGCAGTAGCAGTATGGTATCGCACCATCTTGCACACATTAGGTAAAGTTCGTTTACTTAAGTATAAATTTGGATCGTATGGGGTGATCTCGTGTTGTTTGCTGATAAATTGTAAAAGATATTGTTTGCCTTACTGTAAGTAAATCACATCTGTCATATAGTAATATTAGATATACTTTATCCAATCCATTTACGAGGCCGTAGATTAATTCAAAACCAAACAAATACAGAAGTATTAAACTAAGCATAAAGCCATACCCACAGAGAGTATGACGATAATTTAAATTAAGTTCTATTATTATTAAATAACTAATCTACTGTTCACAATGTTTTTGAAGTAATTTTGTCTCGCTAGAAACACGTCTACACCACTTGAATAATTAGTATTTAAGTTTTGAGTTACTCTATGAAAGTAGGAATTCTGCCTGAAATTGGTCAAACATAAATCAATATGTAATCGCAGATAGTTACGTTAGGCAACTTTACGAAATGGTACCTGCATTTTAACCAGTGGTAGAAGCTTGTAGAAGCAAACAATAATGACACAACACGGAATTTAATTCACTTATTCAAATGACGAAACACCGTCCCGGAAATAATGATAATTTTCGTGCGAAATATTCGCTTTACTCTTGGCCACCACTGCAGCTTCACGATCACCGCCCGCGCGCCTTGCATCGAAGAGGCCATGCTTAAGACACGTCCTAACCGTAGGTGTTGCCCGACGAAATGAGCGAGCGCTGCAGCTGCGGACGGCGGTTTTGTTGCGCGACGCACACGCAGCCCCGCGCACCGCACTCTTCGCGCCGAGTGCCAGCGAAAGGCGCAAGATTACCTCTCTCGCTCGCACATACTCCTAAATATTATTTATAACACATTTGCTCGTACAGCGTCTCTGATTGCACCAATTTCAATATCATAATTTATCTCATTACACACGCGTGCGGTAATGTAAAGTAAATCGCACGGCTTATTATGTTCCATCTAAAAACGAACGATACGTTTTTAAATCTTAGCAAAGAGTTTTTATGTCAGAAAGGTAGCCAACATTTTCTTAATTTTACTAACTTTGGGAGATAAAATATAATATAAACATTTAATTCTTTAATTTAATTCATTTTGACAATAAATTACAACCATGTATCGGTAACAATTTCGCAAAAATATTAATTTACTTTATTAGTAACACTGGCTGTTTTTTGTACCTTTGCCTACAAAAGCGTAGATGCGCGCGCATCGTCAGCTACCATTCTGGTGTGAATCAGCCCCTATAGAACACTTTAATCTCAGCTATTTGCCGACTACGATACATTGTTTTATCATGTTTTTTACTTTTTAGTACATTTTAGCAGAATAGTGATGTTTTCTATTCTAGTTTCCGTTAGATCGATAGACTTACATTATAATTGTGTTTTCTATTCTCATAATGGGTTTATATAAGAGATATATTTATTGATTTTGTATTCATAGGTGCAACCGAACAGCACTAGGCCGGCTCTCCAAGCAATGATGTCCACTCTACAAACCGAATGTCCAAAGTTAACTGAAGCAGACGCTCCCATTAAACCGGCCAGTGGCGAGCTGTATACTGTGTATTATGACAAGGATTCCTCATGGTATAGGTAAGTTTCATATTTGCATTAAACTGAGGTCAGTGACAGCTTGTGTCAGTTCCTTATGGATTGAACTTGGGCTCGGTCGACGATGCAGTCCGGGGTTTCTACGAAATTATAAACAACGGTATAGAACAGTTTGTTCCGTATAAGCGTTCTTGCAGCCATCGTGCTTATCCTGTTTGGTACAGTCGGGCTTTGATAAAAATTATTAAAAGTAAAGGTAAGGCTCATGCTCGATGGAAAAAATATAAAAATCACCTGGATTATGATGAGTTTTCTATGCTTCGTTCACGACAAACTCGCGTACAAAGAGAATGTTTTCAAAAATACGTTACTAACATTGAAAAGTCATTAAAGGATACATCTAAGCCATTTTGGTCATACGTCAAAGCAATGCGTGGCGGTTCAAATTAATGTTAACACTAGGCAACACCAAATTTATGGAAGGTAAAGAAATCTCTCAGGCTTTTAATGATTTTTTCAAAAGTGTTTTCAGTAATAACTCCACCTCTTTTTCACTGGCAGTATCTTCGAATAGTAATGACAGCTTAAGTAAAATACAAATAGAACACGAAGATACGCTTAACTCCTTAAAACGTTTGGACTGCAGTAAAGGTGCTGGCGATGACGGGATTCCACCCATATTTTGGAGAAATTGTGCAAGATCGTTATCACACCCAATTAACGTAATTTTCAACAGGTCTCTAACCGAAGGAGTTTTTCCTAGCCTTTGGAAAAGGGCTTTAATTGTACCTATACACAAAAAAGGTTCTAGGACCCAAATTGAAAATTATAGAGGCATCTCTCTGCTTAACACCTTAGCTAAAATGTTTGAGAGATTAGTCTATAATCATATATATGCTGTCGTTTGTAAAGGCTTGCCTCATACCCAACATGGATTTCTTCGAAGACGCTCGACAGTTTCCAACTTAGCTTGTTTCTCTGATTATGTGTACAAGTGTATGGAGGGTGGTGGACAGGTTGACGTGCTCTACACTGATTTTGAAAAAGCTTTTGATCGTGTGGATCACGTCATCCTCCTAAACAAACTCTATAGCCTTGGAATACACGGAGATTTGCTTCGTTGGACGCAGTCTTATCTTTCCAAGCGGTCATAGGCAGTTGTGGTGGGTGGATTCAGGTCCGATTTTATTGACATACCTTCGGGTGTTCCGCAGGGATCGCACCTAGGACCTCTTTTTTATAACGCGTATTTATTTGATATAATGTCGTGCTTTAAAAATGCCCATCACTTAATGTACGCCGACGACAAGAAAATCTTCTTTAAAATTAGAACCTTGGAAGATTGTAGATTGCTTCAATCGGACTTAGATCGTTTATATAATTATTACATCAAAAACAAAATTAATTTAAATATTACAAAATGTGAATTCATTACATACACACGGAAACGTAACCCCATTTCTTTTACTTATACTTTTAATGGTGTGCCTATTACAAGAGTAGACTGCATGCGTGATCTAGGAATTATATTTGATCAAAAACTTACTCTGACTAAACACATTGATTATATTACTGCAAAGGCATACAAAAATTTAGGGTTTTTATTGCGTGTATGTAAACCTATTAAAGACTTGCTTGCTTTAAAATCAATTTACTATGCACTGGTGCGTAGCATTTTAGAATATGCAAGTCCCATCTGGTCACCCCTTTTCAAACTGCACTCGGAAAGATTAGAGCATATTCAAAAAAGGTTTATAAAGCATCTAGATTACAGACTGCGAGTTAATTCAAACTCCTATTTACATAGTTGTCGCCAGTATGCTATTTTGACATTGGATGAAAGAAGAACGGTTTTAGACATGAATCTGTTACACGATATAATAAACGGTAGGTTGGACTGTCCGGATCTGTTGGCGAGGATGGGACTGAGCGCGCCGCGTCGACGAACTCGACATACCCCTCTACTTCATGTTCCGTTTCACCCAACCAATTACGGAAAAAACTCGGTTCTTTCGCGTTTGTGCCAAACATACAATGATAAGTTTTCAAAAATCGATCTTTTAGCTTACTCCAAAATTTCATTTAAATCCAGAATTATTGATAACATTCTCGGCGACACTGTGTAGCATTGGTACGTGGTTGTTTATGCATAAAATATCTGTTTTATTATTTTATATTTGTTCTTGAGTGATTATCATTATGTAATTTTTAGTTTAGCAGCACGATTTAATTTTAAATCTTGAAAACACTTTAGGTGGTTGTGTGCAGTTATGCAGGGCGGGATATAATATAGTAAAATGGTTAGCATTTCGTGGCCAATTAACTGTAAACATTTGTTTTCATAGATACCCATATCGTTTGGAAGGCATTTTGTTGAGTTGAGAAGCTGAAATAGAATTGCTTTCAGTATTGTTTCCATCAGTATGGATTTCACCTAGCTTAAGGCAGTTGAATGTTTCTGACGGTAAACACAATATACTGTAAATTAATTTATGGAAAATCTGTAAATAGCCTTACTGTTGGTTTACACTATACTTAAATACTTTTGTAAACGCCGTTGATTTTCAAATAAATAAATAAAAAATAAAAAAAAGAGAATAAATTACACTTTCCATACACGCGTACGCATCGGCGAGATATATCCGAGACGTCCGCGTCACAATAGTACACTCTGAAACAAAGAGGTGCCTATTATTTGATAAGTACAGGTATAACAAGCTTTTCGTTTTGGCTATTAAACTACGATATAGAGCAGACAGGTGGGCTTAATGATGAATGTCTCAAAAACAAAAGCGATGACAAATAGAGAAAAAACGATCATAAAGGTAGACAATAACATAATATAATATGTCGATGAATGTACATATCTTGGTCAAGTAATAACAAAAACTGACATACAAATAATATTCAAACAAATGTACTGTACTGTTTTTTATTACCCTACGCGTCCTCTAATGCATTTTAATGGTGACACCTTGGATTTCTGCTAATCTTGTGTCATATGTCATTCTATTATTCTTATGCCACTATAATCCTAAATATAAATTTAAGAATAGGGACTGAATTTCAGTAAAAAATCAAGAGTTGTGTTAATTTGTCATTCACATAAAAAAAATATGTAGCGAACGCATTTCATTTTGATCAGTTTATGATTTATAATTTCATTGGCAAATAAGTTCCATATGATCATTGAAAAAGCAGCCCTTAAAATAATTGATTATTGAGTTTTTTTGTCAGCCGGCTAGAAGTCATAGCGCACTAGACCCACCCGGCATCCGACCAACACCGGCTCTTGTGAGTTCAACCAATCTATTAAAAATTATGAAATCTTGTAAGATGTGACGGTAGTAATCGTGAGCGAGTCCTTTTCGCACTTGACTGAAATTTATCCCACGCTATTGATGTGGAAAAATTACAAGATCTCATGTGAAACTGTCTTTTTTGATTTCACAGGGTGACAATCGCCGGCGCCGTGTCCGCAGAAATGGTGTCTGTGTATTTTTGTGATTATGGAGACCTGGCCTTGTTTCCAACGAAAGACTTGCGACCGGTCCCGCCTGAAGCGCCGCTTGCCCGATCGTTGCCACCGCAAGCGATTAAAGCACGTCTTTATGGTAAGAAGATGTTATGATCACACTTATATTATAAGGGAGAAATTTTATGAGTGTGTAAGTGTGTATGTTTGTTACTTCTTCACATCCAAACGGCGGGAGCGATTTTAATAAAATTTGGTATGGAGTTAGCTGGCACACTGGATTAACACATAGGCTACGTGTTACTGCAGAAAAATATCCCTAATAAACCGCAGGTAACACCGCGGGGCACAGCTAGTATTCTATAATGTAAAGTGACTTCAGGAGTTATCTCATATTGAAGTAATTTTTTAATTTGACGAGTTTCAATTTCTTTCAGTTATTCTGACGACGCATTCCTGAAAAGGTTGTGAAACGTCAATACATAAATAAATTCAGTGCATATAACCCGTAAAACTGTTTTATCTAATACAAAATATAGTAAAACAGCACCAATTTGTAAATAACATGGAATTATTATCCGTTTAAAGTAGTTCTATCTGAATTAATTTATAATATGTAATTTGTAAAAATTGTGATGGTTTCATAATTGCAAAAGTTGTGGCTTAACGTGGACATTTTTAGAAAAAAATATTTGAGAAAGAAAATCTTGCGGAAATATAATCTAAATCATTGTCTGATATAGCTGGTAAAGTTTCTCAGGTAACTCAAAATTCACGGTGTATATTTATAAATTTACACCCTCTATTTAATATTCTGAAACAGTTAGCTTATTGGCAACATTTAAACATCCAATGTAATATAAAAAAAAACATAATTCATACATAAACATCCGAATGGGTGTTATAATGTTGTACTAAATTTCCTATTAACACTCCGTTTGCTTTTTAAATCTCTTCGGCGCTAAGGGCTTAGTCACCCGGAGCCAAATCAGAACTGTAAGAAGGGTGTCCCAAGACTCTGACTGGTGTGGAGTCCAGGAAGTCCTTCGTTTTGATCGCAGAGTGCGTGGGCGTGTTGTCGTGGTGAAGAAGTACCCCGTGGAGCCCGGTGTTAGGTCGCTTATTGCTCATTGCAGAAAAATCTTCTGGCAGGCATTTTGTGCTGTGCCATTCGGCGTTGATGCTGCTTTGGTCTCATAGTGAAATTGAAATTAGGTACCCCGTCAAAGTGAAGTAACTAGCGAGCAAAATGTTCCCTGCGCTCCTCAATCACTTCACTTTCGTAGGCGTTGTGTATTATTAAAAAATAAGTTTTTGAAATGGACAGACCGAAATCAATTAAAAAAGAATATTCGGGCGCCTGGACTGTACCATCATTATTAGCCGGGAGAACATTGGAATATTAATCACAAAGGGGGCTTAATGCAAATCCATATTCATTCTGGGTTGTCAATTTATTGAAATTTTAAGTCCAAAAGGGTTAAATCTAAATTTTGAAACTAAGGCTAAGATGCTACCAAAAATAAAGTGAAAATTTACCTTATATTAGGGTTCGGGTATGACAATGAATTTGGACATTACGATCTGGGAAGTGTATATGTCTGGTGTTGCAAATGTTTAAGGGATGGCCGTTTTTACATTCCGTGGGTTCACCTCCACATCACGGGAAACATCGTAATTTGAATAAGATATCCAAATAAAAATCCATATAAAAAAAAAACGCTTTTCGCTGAAAACAAACATTCCTCAGATTAGCACATGGCTCACAAAATCTAAGGAAATCTCTAAGGTTCTTACCGTTTTTTCAATCAAATTAAGTTTAAAGTATGGTCATCGCAATTTTGTATGAATGATGTAAAATGTTTCATCTGAAAACGAAATGAATCCTAATGTAAATCATTGAAATATATGAATTAAAACACTTTTCGAATTTGGAAAAACACTTACCATTAAAAAAAAAATATTAGTATGAATTACTTTGTAATTCATTCAGATTAGCCGCGAGACATTTCGCTCTCGGTAAAATCGCAACGTGAAGTGAAGTGACAGTAGTGACATTAGTGACATTTGTCTTTTCTCAAATTTGTTTTCTCTCGCCGGTAGGCAAAGAGAACAACGTCCATTCAGCCTACTGCTTGATAAAGTTAGCAACATAATTATTCAAAAGTGCACAGATTACAGAAAATGGGCGCGAGATAAAAACGACCAGAGAGACAACCAAAAAAAATCTTCTATCTCGCTCTTCGAGCGAAGGAGATCCATGTGACGTTTTTAACACGTTACATTTCACCCTTCCCCGAATAAAGCATCGAGAATCGAGGCTGAAAAAACTACAGCTAAAGTTCAAATACTAAAAGCCAAAACGAAATCCGTTGAATTATGGATAAAAAGGAAACCCAAAGTGAAAAGAAAACAACTTCAAATAAAGTTATCCAAATACCAAAACATCATCAAACTATAGAGTCCTTGGACAAAAAGTCACAAGTCTCAAAACAAAAGCTGTTAAACTAAATTAGTCACAGACCCAAAATTATTAAAAACCTAAAGCAAAAGGCTCTAAAATAAAAGCATGCAAAGCTTACTACAAAAAATTCAACCACTATCATCATCATTATTGAGATCTGTCAAACATAAAAGTCGCAGACTCTAAAAAATCTCTAAATTGAAACTACTCTATCTAAACCTTGGTGAGATCTGTTGGACATCTAAGTCGCAGACTCTAAAATTTCCTAAACTACTCTTAATATTAATTTCTGAAGGTCTGTTGGACAACTAGGTCACAGACAGAAAACTACAATCTACTCCTACTACCAACTCTTGGGAGATCTGTTAGACAACTATGTCGCAGACTCTAGAAAAATCCCACCCCAGTACTGCTATACTAAAAAGTCGCAAGTACTATTAGTTAAATCCCCAAAAAAAAGTACGAGATTTGTGGCAAAATTGACACTAACTCATTTAAGTCACAATCATGGTCGGCACAACACCACCGGCTTTCCAAACATGATGTGCAAAAGGCGTCGAGAACAAACAGTTCGACAATAAAATGTAGTGACGAAAGTCAAAACAACAAAAAATTTGGCGAAAACCAAAACGTGACATTCATGGCCGACTCAACACCAACGACTTTCCGGACATGAAGCACCCAAAACAAAAGTTGTAACTACATGATCGGCACAACTCCACCGAATTCCCGAGCATGAAGCACAAACACAAACAATTGATGTCCATAAATATGGGCAAACAAAATACCAAAACAATATGGCAAAACCAAAAAAAGCGTCAACAATGTTGAACAAAAAGTCAAATTTGCATCTTCATGATCGGCACAACTCCACCGAACTTCCGAACATGATGTGCAAAAACAAACAATTGATGTCCACAAATATGGGCAAACAAATTACCAAAACAAAGTGGTAAACCAAAGAAATCGTCAAAAATATTGAACGAAAAGAAAGTCAAAATCATGGATGTCAAATCCAAGGAAAAAGTGGGGATCCCAAAATGTCAAATCCGGGTGTAACAGTTATCACACACACAAACTTCTACAGAAAACAAATTGTTATAAAACAACAAACATGCAGAAATACCACACAACTATAGTACTAACAAATAAGTTTGTACAAAAATAACAAATAAGGACATAAAATCCTAATAAAAAATGTGTCCATACAGATAAAACATCTGCACGAAACAAAAGGTTATAAAATCTTATGATGCAGAAAACAAGTAGGCATGCTACGTAAATTTAAATTTTACTAAAAATTTTCAAAGTCAAACAATATAATGGCAAAACTTGAATTTAATAAAAACCAAAAAGTCATTGAGTAAAGTCAAATGTAATTGAGTAACTTCACTATCTTTCATCGTCTCTCATGAGGCCAACCTTACTTACTTCACGCAAAAAATCAAACCTTTCAAAGCCTCCAGATCACTCAAGTTACAAAAACCTAAAACCCAAAGGTTTGTTTATGTTTAACAAAACTAACCAAACAACAGCTAAGCAATCTAAATTTTCAAAATGTCTTTAACATGGTAACGACCAGAAGTACCTTTAACCAAATCTTTTAAAACATAAACATTATTAGAAATTTTATCAATAATCTTACATTTAATAAACTTCGGAGCTAGTTTTGCCGAAAAATAATGAGCAGCACTTGATTGAACAAAATTCCTCCTCCAAAGAATATCACCTACATCATAAGAAGTGACTTCACGACGCTTGTTATAATAAGAAGCATTACGTTTATATGCTTTAAATAAAGTTCCAGTAACTTTAACAAAAATACTTTCAAGTGAAGAAAGTGAATGAGCAAAAGCAGAACGGTCAACAAGATCGATCTGTGTTAAATTATCAAAAGAATTACTAAAACGGTGCAATGTGCATCAATAATTAACTCCCTACCAAACATTAGGAAATTCGGAGTGAACTCCGTAGCCAAATTAACACTACTATTCAAAGCTAACTGAACATGTGGAAGAAATTTCGACCAAGTTCTATGATCATCACGAACGAAGCAAGAAATGCAAGTTTCAACCGTTTTATTATAAGGCTCCACTGGATTATTCTGAGGCGTATATAAAGTATTATAAAATATTCTATCAATATTAAAACCTTTAAGAAAATCTACAAAATTTCTAGAAGTGAACTGAGTACCGTTATCACATACAACTATTTTTGGACATCCGAACTTAAGGAAGATATCTTTTTCTAAGAACTTACACATTGATCTAGTTGTTGCATTAGCCAAAGGAAATAACCAACAATATTTTGTAAAAACATCTACTACAGATAATATAAACTTATGACCAGAATAAGTTTAGGGTAAGATTCCAATTAAATCCATACTTAACATTACCATAGGTCTATCTATTTTTTGGGATTAATCATAGTTCCAAGTGGTTTAGAAGTCGAATGCTTATAAGCTTTACAAATATCGCAATTATTAATATATTTATGAACATCATTAAACATACCTTTCCAAAAGTAATGTAGTTTTATTTTATGCAAAGTTTTATGAATTCCTAAATGACTCGAATTTAAATCATCATGATTATTTCTAATAGTATCCAAAATATGTTCTTTTGGAACAACAATTTTCCAATCTAAATTATTATTAACGCTATATTTTGATTTAC